CCTCGACACCAGAGATGGCAGAGATTAGCAAAAGCAACCCGAGCTTTGGAGACGCGCAAAGAGACCTTATCCGTTAAACCATTAGCACTGAGGCAGTTTCCGAGGTAAATGAACTTGTCTACCACTTCCATGATTGACCTGAAAGGGTGGTGATAGGAGCAGCGCCTAGCCAGTCCTGTAGAAAGATCTTGCACTTCGATGGTGCGAAGGTCACTCCAAACTGGGAAATAGACATCTCTAACCTACACAGGACATTTTGGGTGGCCCGTGAGGAATCACAGATTACGGCGATGTCGTCTGCATGCTCCAAATCCCGAAGTTGATCTCCCGGAAGCAGCTCGACATCGCTGGGCTCGCAGTTCTCCAGAGCACTTTTCAGAATTTCGTCCATGGCGAAATTGAACAAGAAAGGGGAAGCTGAGCATCCCTGTCTCACGCCACTGGTGATATTAAAGGGGGGTGAATATCCGGCGTACATCCGCACTCGGCCCCATGTTTGAGAGTAGATGGCTTGCTGTATGGACACTCACCTCAGTAGACAACTTCAGAGAGCTGCTCTGTCAACTGAGTCAACCGCGACTCGTAGTCTAAGAAGGCAACGATCGTTGACCAGTCAAATGTTTGACGACGCTCGAATATTTCGCAGAGTGTGAATATGTGATCGATGCAACTCCGACCTAAGCGGAACTCAGCTTCACTAGTAAATTGTGCCAATTCTTCATGAGAGCTGTTCCATCAAATTTGAAAAACTCTGGAGGAATTCCATCTGCTCATGCGGTCTTATTCAATTTCATTTATCTGATCTACTGTTCGATTTCTGCATATGAGGGCGGATCCAAAGAGACGGCGCAAGGAAAGGACAGTCGATAACTCAAAGGAAGATGATAACTCAGGCCAATTAAACTTGTTTTCCATTTGTCGGCGTTTGGTTCGCAACGCTAAGGTCACCGGTTCGAATCTGCGTAGGGGTGGGCGTCCTCGCGGTATACTCAGCCCGCTCGCGACTGGTGATGGTTGCGCGGCAGTGAAGCGCCGTTACGACGTACAGCTGACACATTATTAAGAACAAAGGACCGAAGGTAAACAATTGTTTTCGATGATTCATCTTCAGAGCCGTACAATCATATGAGTGAAATAGCAATGGGCGTTAAAGTGGATTAACGATCAGTTCAAATGAGATTGATCACGTGCAGACCAAAGGCATGAACCAGTAACAAACAGCAAACTAGGACAGAGATGCAATTGCACAATTGCAGTTGCTCCCAGAAGGATCCGTTTTGGCTGGCCAAGGTAGCTTAACAGCTTCGATCAGCTTCTTTTGTGCACACAAAAGTGGTTGATACAACCGAATGCTGATCGCCTCGGCAGTAGCAAGGGTGCGGAGGCGCAGGCCTTTCGACTGGAGTGGAGGGACCCTGTATAGTATTCGAAAGGCACTGACTGGGTCAACCTCTTGCCCACTACCAACAAGATGAGCCATAGCAGAGCTAGTTGTAGCCCAAGTACCGTCTCGACACAACCAGCGTGGTAGGTGCTCCTTAATGCGCTTCAACAGTTGCCGCGCCGTTCGACCGATGTAAGTAGCGCCACAGGCGCACTCGAACTGATAAATTTTCATAGAAGCGGTCAGCGTCGGTAACTTGTCTTTGTTGTGAATACGAATGAGTGGCTCCGTGGAAAAGGTACACCTAAGCTTGGCTGCTGGGAAAGTTGACTTGACAGCTGTTGAAAGGCTTCTAGTTGCACGCTCAGCAGCGGCGTCTCCCTTGAAGGGTAGTCGTATGAAAAGTTTTTTTCTCTCTGCTGTCTGAACCTGCAACTGGTCGGGCTTATTTTGCATGTTCCTGAAGATGAAACGATCAGTATAATCGTTTTCGCGCAGCAAATTCTGAATGAACGTCAACTCATTATCCAACTTGTCTTCAGAACAGATCCTGCGAGCCCTTGTGATTAGACAGCGAATTAGGTTTCGCTTGTATCTTAACGGAACGAAGCTGTGAAAGTTCGTATACTGGCCACTCCAGGTTTTCTTCCTGTAGACCTGCCGTTGGATTGAGCCGTCTGCCCTTCTAGTTAACAGCACATCAAGAAACGGCAATTGATCGTTCAATTCTTTTTCGTAGGTAAACTGCAATGATGCGTGGGCCCGATTAAAACTGCCAATAACAGCGTCAAGGTCAACAGACTGGTCGGCCACGACAAATATGTCGTCCATATAGCAGTGGTAACATTTAAGGGCCGTGATCTTTGCGTGTAACTTGGTATTCTCTAGTTTCGCCATGAAGACATCATCTAACAACGGACCCAATAGCGATCCCATAGCTACACCATCCTTTTGTCGGTAGTAAGTGCTATAGAATAGGAACTGTACGTTCCAAGTGCAACGCAAAAGAAGGCTTTTCAAGTTGAAGCAATGTAGGAGCAAAGGTAATCGATTGCCTCGAAAAGTGGCACGTTGGTGAAAGCGATACAACATCCAAGCAAAACATTACTTTCTTACCGATGTTGCGGTTTTTGACGATTTCGATGAAATGAAAGGTGTCACGAAGGCTGTAGTGTGTAAGCCGCTGTTTTATTGGCTCTAGAATTTCCACAAGCCATTGGACGACGGCATGGTAGGGTGAGTTAACCATTGATAAAATCGGGTGAAGCGGGACATTTGTCTTATGAATTTTCGGTAACCCATAAAGTCTCGGGACATTCGTGCTACTCGGCTTCAGTCTACCATAAAGTGTATTTGATGTATGTCCACTATTCCAAAGATGTTGCAAGCTTTTAATAATCTGGTTTTCAATCCTCTCTGTTTGGTCCTTTTCTCCAATCGTTCGGGAAAATTTCGATTCATCACTCAGAACTTTTTCGAGCTTGTTTATATAGTCTTCTTTGTCTAATAGAAAGACTCCGGTATCCTTGTCCGGTTTGCTCAGAACGATCTTATCATTGTGTCGTAAATCCTTCAGCGCGTCAAGGTGCTTGCGTGTCAGTGGACCGTGAGTTTGGATACGGCACTTGCGATACTGGTAGCAGATGTTCACTAGAGAACACTTAAAGTGCTCTAGGTTTTCATTTGACTTAGCTACTGGCCCTTTGTTTGGCCAAACAGGCTTTCAAACTGTAACCCATAGTGAAGCTGATTGTCTTTGTGTTCGGGGGCGCGAAACTTTGGACCAATTGATAGAACTTCCATTAAAGTAAAGTTCAATTTCCTGCTTGAAAAATTGTGCACTTGCCTCTCAGGTCTATTAGGGAAAATAGATTGCGGCTTATGCTGTTTCAACGACTTTGTTAGGGCCAAACGCCTTTGTCGTACATGGTTTGTGATGATAGACTGAACGTAATCCAGGAATGTTTGTTTCACGTCTAACACTAACTCGTCAATCACATGCTGGCGTTGCGCCATATTGCGCTCGAATTCGGGAATCTTGGATTGCACCGTGTCACGCTGGTTCAAAGTATGACGTCTAAGCGTTTTGGCATTCGGGTAGATCCGACTGCGGCGCAATTGCTTCCAGAATCTGCTAGGATATTCATTGCCTTCAATGCAATCATCGAAGAATTGTACACAAGTTTTAGCTTCGGCAAGCCTAGTGGAGAACTTAAGGAACTGATTTAGATCCTTCACCACTGAGGGCGGCTTGGACGATTTCAGTAACCTTATTATTATTCTTTATAGACAAGTGCCGCTTGTTCGCCAGTCTGTACTGAAGTGCGCATATCTAGGCATGCCGGTCTTAATAAGGATCGAGAGCTCATAGGAGCAACGGTTGAACTGACATTGTCCGCTTGGTTGAACATGGACTTCTCGACTTGACTTGAGCGACGCCATGCGATTGTTTGTTAGCGAAAACTAGAAGATAAATGCCCATTGAAACAAGATGGTGTAGGGCCAAGAATTGGATGTTTGAATACGGTTCGGATACAACTGAATTCGGAACGACGATGAACATGAGAAAACGCAAGTCAGTGTAAAGACGGGGTCTGAGCAGTAGCATCGTCACCCCTATCTACCATGCTCGCTGCAGCAGATAGGGCGCCATTAAGTATTTCCTGCAACGGTCAGAGCATCAGAAGACGTCTGCTTTTCCTGTTTGCAATTATAAAGAGAACTTTTTCGTTTCGAATATCAAGAAATTATTTGAGGAATCATTGTATTGCTTGAGCAGCATACTGTTTGGCTGCCCAGACCTAGAGAGGAGAACAATTAGGATTCTTAACCAAAGCCTTTGTTCATAACCACATGATAGCTAAGTTTTGGCATTGGCTCGTCTAGTCATTTTTATAGAGTAAGGAGCCCCTCACCCCATCCCCCAACCTAGATGACCAGGAGACTGAGTTTGTCTGACCTCTAACCATTGACCAGTCCGACTTTAATGGTTCTGAAAGTGTAAAAAGCACTACCCAGCATCGCTCAATGGATCGCTGGAGCATACATGTCATCGCATCACGTTTAGATTCATTCTCACCGCGCTGAAGCCTTACACTTATTTGAGGCATTGCGTTCCGTTACTAGAATCCACGTTGCCCTACCACAAATAGTCTTTAAATTCATTCTCTACCTATCATCATCACTCATCATCAATACTCGTTTACTGAGCGTGAGAAACACACTTCAGCTAATGTACCGTAATACCAAGAAGATAAGATCCTAAAAATTGCACTACAAAAAATTCAAAAAGCAAGTAATATAATGTTAAATATCATATTATTCCTTTACTGAGATCGTACTTATAGTGGGAATCTAAAGAAGAGGGGGATGGACAAAGTAACAACACAAACGCCATTGGGGCCGGCTGTTCGTCAGCAAGTGTGTCCAACATATCATATGTCCACCTATTGGCAAAGTAGAAAAATATTTACTTGTGGCCGAACTGTTTTGCCTGTTTTATAGACTTTCTCTTATAACATCTACTTTCAGAGCGCCTGGATAATCTATGTTCATTTCCACAATTTCATCTCATTTCAGTGGGACTATACACACTTTTGTTCTGGCACGTGTCTCCATGGACCTGTCAGAGTTGCTGAACCGGTTTGGTCAGCTACAGACCCACGTAAACTCGGACACGATTTCGGTTTCTTCTGAAACCTCTTCTGTCCTTTCACCTTCGCGAGCTGGAAAGAAAAAGCGTCATCGGAAGTCAAAAGCCTCTAGGTCAAACCGATCAGCAGCAACTCTGTCGGATAGTACAAGTGAGTTTATGCTGATCGGTTTTGAATGACGTTTTTCGTATTACACTTTCTTACTACTTGCTCTTGACATCCTCTTTCCTAGCATAAAAGTTGTTGTGACTGATTTTGCAGTTTCGTGTACCCCAAAACGTAACCTGTTCTAGTTAGTTCTTGTTCCCATAATCGCTTGTCACCTGGGCTGGGGATAGCTACAGCCCACCGGGGCCCACACAAAGACCACTGATGGCTTTCATTTCACCACTCACAGCTCTGATCGTGGACCCCATAACAACTCGAAGCTGTTAATCATAAGACCAAGGAGCATGTTAGTGGGTTAGCACAACTGCCTCGGAGTCCTCCCATACTCATCACGCATGTCTCCCACGAGTGAGTCTGTGCGGTAGTGTCACAGAACCATCACATCATTAAAAAGCTGCAGATTAAACGCGTTCCACATAGGCATATGCATCCTATCCGGGTTTTTGTCTCACACGATGCCGGTGTTTTGAGATCGCCTACTCAACTCTAACGTCGCAGCCACTGTCAGCGCTTGCTCCACAATGTTCCCATCCCTCTCTATTCTAAATAGTGCACGGGGTTAATCGTCCTAGGACAATACTTCCCGCTCCCTGTACGACTAGTGACAGCTTTTCTAAACCGGATGACGTGAACCACTTCGAGTTACTTCAAGCTGGAGTTTGTAACATCTACTCGGTTGTCTTAGTGGAACCCAGTACAAATGCCACATCACACGCGTGACTTATCGTTTAAACTGAGTCAAAGTAAAAGTTTACGCACCCACTGAAATATGCTTATAATGGTATATCAATTACCACTGGGAAATGTATACATCCTGTTGTGTCTAAACGCTCCAGTAACTTAACCCTCTGTCAAGGAAGAACACGACAATCGCCACAAGCAGGGACTTCTATCGTCTGATAACACCAGTTCAATCCAGAGCGATCGTTCATTCCCACGCTTTTATTTCACCTTCCAGCCGCGTGCCTGGGAGCTGATGTGCGCTTGGTTGTTCGATTCGTTTGAGCTCACGTTGCTATCTCATGTTTTTGACAGCGCTTTAGGAAACTATTCAGCTCACCGACGAGCGATACGTAGTAAGCAGGTCGCGATTTCCATGGGAGGCCCCTATCCCGAATTCGGCAACCATAAAGGAATCACTCTGACCTCCATCCCCTCCAAATTGCTTGCGTCTCTCAACCTTTACAGATTGACTGCAACGCGTGGAAACCAGATTCATGAAGAGCAAGCCGGGTTTCGTCAAGGTCGGGACTGCATCGATCACAGACTTATATTGCGCTATTTGTTGGAGCATCGTCACATATATTGACGGCCCCCCGTCGTCGTATTCCTCGACATCAAAGGTACCTTCGATTCGGTTGATCGATGCGCCCTTTGAGACTTTATACATAGGGAACGTGTGCCCATGAAATATGTAAATATTATATGAGCACTTTACGCGCTTTGCTCGGTCAGAGTGCGGTATACGGCAAGCTATCGCGTCCCTTCAATATCTCCAGCGGTGTGATACAAGGATGTCCGTTGTCACCTTTCCTCTTCAACTTCACCATTGCCATGATCATGCAGATCGCGTTCACAGGACACGATGTAGGTGTGGAGCTGCTCTCCCAAGTGAACGACTTCTTGCCTTGTATCGTTTCGTCGTTGCCCTCATCTGCGATAGCTTCCAAACGTGCCAAGCTGCAGTGAACAGACTAGCATTGGCTGTCAGCCATTTTTTGGCTCTACTTTGCATCTTCGAAGTGCTAAGCTTTTCTCTAAGCTTGGCAGGGACCCATGCCTGCGCTGATCGTTTGTGGTGATCAGCCAGAAGTCGTTCAAAAATTCAACCACCTAGGAAGTTGTACCAGCATCTGTGAAATCGAAGATGGGTTCAAAAACCGTGTAGCTAAAGCACGAGGCGCTGTTGTTAACCGCCACCTATGATGCCTTAACCTGAAGGGTAGAGTGCACAACACGGTCGTACGTTCGACCCCACTGGATGATTGTGAAACCTGGCGCATTTGATTGGTAGACATGCACAAGCTAGCTGTCTTTACAGCATAGCTCATGTCTGGTGGAAGCACGGCATGAGCAATGAATGTGTTCGGCGTAGTATATTTGGTGCAGGAAGAGCGAGTTAACCGCTCCGCACCGTGATTTCACGCACCAGGCTCCGATGGTTGGGCCACCTGTTTCGCATGCCAGCCCATCGACTCCCGCGACGTGCGTTGTTTGCGCGCCGGAGGTGCGGATGGAAGAAGATATGGGGAGGCTAAGCAGGGACTCGATCAAGGGGAATAAAGGCCCTTGGTTCGAAGTTGGCCTCGGTTGGAGTCTCTCGGCTTCCTGGTTGAAGTCCGGAAGGTCATGTATACATTTAGCTGGATACACTTGTTGACATGGCCAGGAGCCGATTTCAGCGGCGTTTCTGTTGTTTCTTTGCTCCTTCTCCTCCCGCTTAGCCTTCGTCTCTAACCGCGATCTCATTTCTTATTCATAGTGTAACTCTTCTTTGCAACCGTTAGGTCTCAGGAACGATGCCTATCCGTAACCTGGAACTCAGCTGGTCTGTCTCTGCTGCATGTCGGCCCGTAGCCTAGAGGTAACGAGCTTGACTCGTATTCTTGCGGCGCGGGTTCGAATACACGTAAGGGTGGGCATCCTCGCGGTATACTCATCCCGCGTGCGATTGGTGGTGTTCGCACGGCAGCGAAGCGCCGTTACGGCGTACAGCTGACACATTATTATTATCATTATTATTATTGCTATTATTGTTATAGATTTTTCTATGTATTGCTGCACAATAGCTGAGATATTTTTCACCTCTACCTAACTTGTATAATGAAGGAATGACGAAGTAGGCAACGAAATGGTCTCTTGCTGCTCAAGTGCGATATCTGTTCGACACCGAGTTGGACCAACTTGGTACACTTGGCAGATCGAGTAGATCTGCCTGTGAATATCAGTCAATTTTATGTTGGAGCACGGAAGCGTAACGGACTACAGATCGTGCCGGTCAGAGTGTCCGGATTCTGCTTATCCACTACTTCATGCTATGGTTTACATGCGTTCCGAAAGATCACCCAGACGTTCGAACTACCGACCGAATATCACAGGTCTACGAAGCTACGATCTTAACTGAGTACCGGACCCCGCCATCAGCAGTGTTTGGTTGGACGTCTGATGATAACCTTAATTCACCATACGCGCTCATCCACGACACACCAATTTCTTCTAGTATCGATCGTCACTCGCTAAAGGACAGACTCCGCTCGATCCTGACCGATGTCAGTCATGGTAAGGATCGCCGATCCCTGGGTCGAGAATGGCACAGGAGTCTACAAATTTGCCGTGAAGCCTCGTGGTGTGAACATACTAGAGACATGCCAGTTTTTCTAGTAGTACCAGATGACTTCTATCTCTTCCAAATCACCCATGATATCCCATTTGATGTGTTAAACAGTCTACGAAGAGGATGGTTCCTTACTCACTACGGTTGGGGCGATGAGCTCAACATTTTGACTCGGTTCTACTGAACGCCAGTTCCACTTGCTTCGTCTGGTGCGCGCACAAGGCTGAATGGTCTATCCCCACAGATCCTCCCTCTCACCAGGAAATTTGGCAGGGATTCTGTTTTTGAAGCACTATACAGCATTTGACCCCGGCGATCTATTTAAAGTGATCTATTTAAAGTGATAGATATTTTCCAGTTGGAGAACCCACCGCTTTTTTCTCAAAAATCTGGTCAAAAGATAAGGTTCCATTATTTTCGGATGAATCTACAGTCGTGCCTGCCTGCGTTCAATGTGCTCCGACAGCAGGGGTATAAGTTCGGCTCATTTGCGAACTTTGGTGTCCCCAACGCGCTAATCGCTACAGCGGAAAAAACCGACTGGTTTTCGCCCTTATCTCGACTAAGTCGATCAAATTTTCACACTCCGTCAGATCTTCGAGTTCCGCCATACGTATCGAAAACCAACGATTGTTGTTGGAGACACTCTATGTGATTGGGTTACGACGGGTAGCCTCAATGTGGACCGCGATTAGCATTGATGTGGACCTTGGACGATTCGATCATTGAGACCGTAGCCGAAGCAGGTGGAAATTAGGTCTGGCCCGCCCGAAAACATTGCGTACTACGACGCGTTTCGACATAGTTCGATCTCATCAGGTAGAGTGATTAAGTAATTTCGAAACCTAAACGTTCGTTATTCGCTGATGCCGAACTCTCCCAGCTAGTCGAGCTGTTGCATCAGACTACGCTGATGGTGTCGTCTTGCTGGGTGACAGACTACGGCCACTTCCGCTTACTCTCAAACGCTGGGGGCCTGATGCATCAAAGTATGGCTGCACTTTTTCCCATCCAATTGCAAATCTCTCGAGACTAGCAGTCGCCTGTACCTACTTTTGGTGGCCATACGCTGAAATTGTGTTTGAGAAGCTGCATCACTGCTGGTGCGGCTGTTGGAGATACCAGTGCACATCTCAAGAGCTCGTGTCGCTTAGCTTAGGTTGAAGCACTTGTGCCACCTCCGTCTCTCCATCAAAGGCGGGTTTATTGTACGATTCTCCGCGCTGTTCGGTCGGTGGCCGAGTGGTCTGCGCACCTGGTTTGCAACCATAAGGTCCCTGGTTCGAATCCGCGCGTAGGGATTGGTGTCTTCGCTGTATAGCCAGCCTGCGCGCGATTGGTGATTGTCTCGCGGCAGCGAAGCGTTGTTACGGCGTACAGCTGACACATTACTTTAATGTACAGATGGGAAAACTGGCCTATTCATGACGTTGACATGCGCCGACTACTCTTCTTCGATTGCCGTTGCTTGTGGTCATTCGCGCGTGTGCGGTGGCTGAATCACGCAAGCAATTTAGAAGTTAAACAGCCACTCGCTGACCGTGAATAGATCTCGTTTGTTTTACAGGAGTGATGAATAAGCAGTCGCGGTCAACATTTTACAGCCTGAGGAGTTGCGATCCGGTCACCTGGTTCTTCCTTAAATACCACAAGAAATCGCAAGGCGCCGTGTCAAAGCCCATGTGACTGACCACTTCTGTAAACAATAGTGAGTACACAACGGAGTTCTGACTAATAATTCCAATGGGGACCACCTTCTGTATAAAGTTTCACTCAAGCACTAAGAAGAACCAATATGCTGTCAACAGTCTGCGTATCTCACGATGAGTTCGGTGTTCTACGAAACATTTCCTGTCCTCTGAGTACTGTTACTGCTCGAAAGTAGTGTTATTCAACGCTAGATAACCGGCTCCGGATAATTCGCTGTATACTTTTCACGCCCTGCGACCGTGATGGTCATGTTTGTAAAGCCTCATGAGGTAGACCAATTAAGTCAACCCTCTGGGCAACGGAAGATATTTATGGACAAACAACACAGGTGGACAGCTGAATCGGCGAAATCCTTCTCTTTGTCTTCGTTTTTCTCGTCGGAGTTGCAAGCGTTCGGTCCCACACCTTCTAGGTGTCTGGTTCTTCGTTCTCAGTAACGCCACCGATCTTGAACCTCACGCTATTCTTGGATCTGGAAAGACACAAAAATCATCTTAGTGCTCTAAACACTGCTTCTAAGAAACGAATTTTGTGCATCTGTTCGGTCTGCGGGCAACTGTTCTGGCTACTCTCCGCGTACCTTCAATCACCACATTTTGCACCCGATGCCTTTGTTTGTGGGTTCACTTGTTCATGAACCTAAATTTTCCTACAAACACACTTATTTTTATATTTTTCAGGAAAAGTAGTTTTTCTGATTACGTTCTACTTTTACTCTTTCTCTTCTTTATCAGTTCCCGCGGTTCCCTTCAATGGAGTTTCTACCTCGACCGATTCTGGTATCCCATCTAGGCAGTATCCTGAACTGTCATCAATCTACCTGATTCCACGTGGGTTTGAAAACCGCCGTAATTGCTGCTATCTGAACGTATCATTGCAAACGTTGCTGCACACTCCACCGTTTATTGATTCATTCCGTGCGCTCCAAAATCAGCGCTATTTTCTGCCTCCTGTTGACGGTACCGATCAGCTCACTTTCAAACAGGACGCATTGTGTAGAGTAATGTAAGCATTCTTTCATTCTACCTGTTCGTTCACCATCAGAGGACTCCAGAGCTTACTGCCACGATCCTCTTCTGTGTCGTACCTTCTGATACTGATACCCGTGTGCAACTAAATGAACTCTCCGATACCATGCCACCGTGCGTTTGAGTGTACATTACCGTCTCCAACTGGTGACCGGAACAAGAAACTCCTGTTGCAGTCATACAATAGTGTATGACTCTTATTGTGACGGTTCCGATCAGCAGTGTGAGTACTTCTTATAGTGGGACACTTCTCACGTGGCGCCGTTATTCGTTCTGGTGTTTCGCTCCTTTCCGATTTATCATGCACTCTCCGATATTAGTGTGGCAGCCCATTGGATCCGTATTAAGACCCTATTTACTACTAGCTTCTTGCAGCCGTCTGGACATTATTCTTATAGTCGATCCACGCATTACTCCAGACCCTCGCAGATACTCTCGGTACTTAGGGTGCAGCACTTAGAGTTGCTCAACCCCATCCTGTTGACCGATACATTAGTGCTGATTTAGATATATCACTACGCGCGCCGCACTTGCTTACCGCGCGGTGTACTTTAGCTGAACATCCTATGTTCCCTGGCATTAGCGCCTGTTTAGCTTTCCATCAGACAATGAGCTGATCCACCTTTGTGTGTTTCCCACCGTTTCAGTGATGTTTCAGAACATTTTCATTTGACAATGTTGCGCAAGCGCGAAGTGACTCTGTAAAAATCACACACCACCACGCGTCACCAGGCCATGTGGCGCGGGACGAATTTCCTGCCTTCAGCTCAGTAGATTCATGGCGAATGTAGCGGGTACGGAATTTTTACATCGTTCTGCTCATCAGTGTGCCGTAATACACAAAGAGCACAGTACAAAAAAAACTCAAAAATTAAATAATATAGTGTTAACTACCATATCATATATTAGCTATGAGATCGTGATTAGAGGAGGAATCTAGAGGAAACGGGATGGATAAAGGAATTCTCAACACAAATCAAATTGGTGCCGGCTCTTCGCCATATCAACAGGTGTGTTGTGGTTTCCGCTGACAATACGGATAATCTGCCTAAAATCTGCTGTGTCGCCCCTAACCAGTTCAATCCCGCAATGAAATGAGAACGCCAAGACCAGCCGGACCGAGGGATTCCGATTCTGCTGTATGTGAGCATGGTGCAATAAATATGTTGTAGGAGACCACTAACATAATAAAATTGGAGATGCTAATTACTATTAATTAACATAAATCAAACGGTTCAAGTTCATGGTCCGACTTGCCGTTGATTTCACATAGACTCGCATTTTGATCTTTACTCGAGTTCCATTTCCCACTACAGATCAATCCACTGTTGTGCCACGCTTCTCGACTTGTGCGCTAGCTCTCCTTTACAGCGTCCAACCGAAGATGTTCATCGTCCTTTGGATCCCAGCCCGGTAGGCGGGATACATCAGCCGACGCTAACTTCGAAGTGAAGGCCAAGTCACTGCTTGGCCTCCCTTCATCTTCCATCCGTACCCCCGGCGCGCAAAAATGCACGTCGCGGGAGTCGGTGTTCTGGCATACGCAACACATGGTGCAGCACTTGGAGCTTGGTGCGTGATATAATGGTGCTGAGCGGTTCGATCGCTTTTCCTGCACCAAATACGCGAAGCCAAACACGTTCATTGCTCACGCGGTGCTCCCACCGGAATTTAAGATGTTCTTTTTGAATCTCACCTCGACGTAGTGTGTCATTCTCCCTACATTCAGAGCGCAGTTCTGGCGTGTACTCGCCTTAGTCGTAAAAACGACTGCGAATGTCTGTCTTCCTTCTCTCTTGCGCGCGGAACTAGGGCGTGTGTGTCAACCAATCGACACAGTCGTTGTGCATCAGTCGACAGAACTTGGGTGTGTGCGACTAATTTTTCGGGGATGTTGCAATCATTCGTCCGTCTACTCTACGTGTGGGACAGTTCGCGAGCGCAAGTCACGCGTCGATTAAGATTACCTACCAGCGGAGCTTGGTGCCCCGCGTGACCGAACTAGGCCGAATTAGTTACTGGCGTCCAACCTAAGACAAGTATTGCACTTGCTATTTCCAGTTGTGTCCCCAAGATGCACAACACACCTCACCCTCTCTTGACACGTGTTAGATGATAATAATGATAATAAGCATAAGAATGGTTATCTACTAATCGGCTTGTCAGGCAGTCACACACAGGAAGGAATTTTCTGTCCACGCTAAAATCTGTTTAATATCTACTTTACTCCAGGTTCAGCGTTGAAACCAAGTGCTTCGCCACAGCCTGACTGTGTATTTAGTAAGGCAAAAAGTAAAAATGTCCGGGACACTTGTTGTTCATGACTTAGCCAATAACATCTCGATTGGCAGCCCACTGACAGATTGCGTCGAACTTGTACGGTTCCGAAGAGATGGATATCATAACGTTCACATTGCCCCAGTTTCTCTTAATTTTAGGAGTAAATGGTTAAATAAGCTTTTATTCTGGACGATATGATCGGGTTAATGCGTCCCTATATACAACATTGATTACAGATGCATTAGGAAGATTAAAAATCATTAGAGATAATAATTTTAGGTATCCCCATTTCGAAACATGCAGCTAGTATTCAACATTGTTTTTGACATAACCATTCGCTACTTGCTTAGTCTCACGATGTAGGCGTTGAGGTTCTGCCTGGTGAAATGTTAGTTTATCTTGATTATGCGTATGATATCCTCTTGCTTTTCGACTATGTTATGGTGGCACAATCAACCCTGAAGTGGTCCCATTATTTGGTATGTACTTCGCACCTTCAAAGTGCAGTGTTGTTGCAGGACCACCAGCCACTTTATGACCCTTTGACCCTTGCTAACGATAAACTCGAGGTGGTTGATCAATTTACTTACCTAGGCAGCTGCATCAGGAACGATGGGCGCATAGAGACTGAAGTCAGTTCACGCATTGCAAAAGGCAGAACTGTCTTCTTGAACCTGCTCAATCTTTGGCGATAGAAGGGAGTTTCCCTCCGTCTGAAAGACCGTGTATACAAGGCCACAGTGAGGGCCGTTCCGCTCTATGGTAGTGAAACTTGGCCCCTTCGGTCAGATGATGTGAGACGCCTTCAAGTCTTTGATTATCGTTGTCTGCGAAGCATTGCTGGTGTCGGATGGCCCCAGCCTGTCCGCAACGATGATGTGTGTAGACGAGTACTAGGTGGTGATAATCATGCTAGCTCCCTAGAACAACAGGTAGCACCGAATAAGTTGCGTTGGCTTGGGCACGTGCTACGTATGTTCGGTCACCGCTTACCTAGGAAGGCCTTGTTTAGTCTGCCAGGTGTAGGGTGACGCAGGACTCGAGGTGGACAGAAGTTGACTTGGCAGCGGGAAATGAAGTCACTGAAGACCAAACTGGGTACCGTTGGTCCGGTTCGCCTTCCGGGCTGGAGTCCACGTGACTCACCTTGTGATTGGCTCGAGACTTTACAGGACATGGCTCGCAACCGACACCAGTGGCGCGTCTGCTGCCGTCTCCTAATCGGATTGCCTGTTTAAAGTGTGCTTGGTGCTGAGTTATCTGCGGGATAATAGCTGATTATGACGCGGGGCAGTGAAAGCCATAAGGAAGCTGTCTCGCCGATGCCGCCTTATCTTTGTACGATAGCCAGCTGTTTGTGACCTTATGTTGTCTACACAAAATGTAGATGCCCTGATCCTGAATGTCTGCTTTAGGCATCAAGGTTTTCAGGTGAGTTCCCCTTCTCTCCCTTTATTATTTTTTATTTCATAGGTCCTCACGGTTGTATGGCAGAGAAGCACCAATTCAGCTGGCTGATGTATTGCTGTTGTTGATGATGATTGTTGGTTCGCTACTTTCGTGGGCTAACCGGACCTTAATTCGAACTGCTTGGGCCAACCATGATCGGCCAGCTTGATAGCTGCGAATATCGAGCAGCTCCCCATCACTTTATTCACTCATCAGTGTTCTCTATTCATGTCTGTCTGTCCAGATTCCGAACGCTCAACAGTATTCTTATAATATGCGAAAGTTTGCTATTGTTTACAACGCGCACTGGTTGCACACCTCACGTCCATTCCTCCCTGTGCCTCTGTCTGCTTCCACTTTCCATCGCTTTGATGCCCTCCGAAACCTATGTGATGTCATCTCACTGCTCCTAGTTAACTCTTAATGGTTCCGTGTTGCTTCACTCCTACTTCGGCTGGATCAGGTTGCATCGCATAGGTTTACTTTTTGAGCGCATCATTTGGTTGTTGATGCACACACGCAGCAACTGCTGATTTATTAATTCAGTAGCATTTATCAGTTGGGGCAAGAAAAGCCGTAGGCAACATGTTTTGCCTATGTCCTGCCCGCACCGTATGATGTTCGCGAGGCGCAATCGTTTTGACTCAATGAATTTAGCTTCAACGCTGTTTCTCGCCCATTTTCTTGTCCTGTATAAGATAACTAGTCACAATCTTGTCGTTTCAAGTGAATGGTTGTTGCTTGATATCCCCGGTGTGGATGCGCTTGATGTGTATGTTGACAAGGTGCCTACCTGTCTATTACCCATTACATCGTTCATACTGGCTCCAGGAGACAGTTGGTCGTTGCTGGAGGGGACGGGGTGCACGGTTCTTGTGGCTGTGCTAGGCTCAAAGAGCGGTTCCATGCACTCAGTGTGGAGCGGACTACGGTCCAGCCACCGCCTTGTGTGCGCTTGATTCCCCAAATACAGCGTGCTTGTGTTTGCCTGTGAAGGAGTGTGGGCCGGCTCCGTTGATGAAACGTGGCTGCCATCCACATGCCTCTCGGTCTTATTCCTTCGGGTTTACACCGGATATGGGGTGTGTGGATGGAGCTGTGGGTGGTGTAGCGCAAGCCACCCATGGTCCCTCTGTAGGCGCAGGCGTCCTGTGGCTGGCCACAGTGACAGGCAAGTCCGAAACCGGATGCCGCCAACCATAAGCTAACTAATATCATGTAAGTTGTTTTGACTCTGTGGCGAAGAATCGGAACAGATTGCTAATGTACCATCGTAACAACAGTAGTTGGCATTACCGATTCTAGGCGCACTTGCTAGACAACCTTCTCGCGGTGTCAGCCACGTGACTCTGGAATTTCCTGTTCCAACAAATGGTTCGGCGGTAGTATTTCAGAACGTGTTTAGTTTTAGCCCAGCAGGCGTTCCGTCTATGAAAGCCACGAGTATATGTAAACAACACTGTAACGTGGCGGGTATGATTTTTCGCTTATCATATTCAATGCTTCCTTACCTTCCTTGGATACATTGTACACCGACGAACAATCCGAGCATTGGGTTTTGCCGACTGATGGACTTGGTCAGGCTAATGCGTGCCGTCTTTTTGTAAGGGGCCTCGAGACGGTCCACGCCAATGGTTGGAGACTGTGTCAGATATGGCGCAGTCACGAAGTCAGTGGTGTTCCTGCATTCGGTTGTTACTTTGTGTTCCATTCTGATTAGTCTAATACATTTCCTACTTTCTTCTATTTTCTCTACATTCTATTCGCATCCGAACCCTCTGTCCTACAGTTGTCATTTATTGTTATTCTTACGCTGTGGGTGGTGGCAACTGGATCCACCACACTTCGGTGCTCGGATCATAGTTGTTCAACTGAACTGAGCTGACGTTTTAAAAAGTGGCAACAAGTTATGCTTCATTCATTGCATCCACAGTGGTTCGAGTTCAAGTTGCTTGCAACGCAGTCGATAATTCATGGCCGAATGCTTACCAGTCAGATGTTTAGCAAACGTTTTCTTCAGTTGCTCTACAGGGATTCTTTCACTCTCACATTACCGTATGTTATGCTACTGTACTCGAGGATGGGGTGAGTGAGTAGCTTAAAAAGCTCAACCCTGACACGAGTTGCGTGTTTTAGCCACAGATTGTTATTGGTTAGTACTTCATGTTAATTTTTCACCTCGCTCCAATTTCGTTCGTTTTTTTCCCGATCGCTTCTTGATTCACCTTCCCGACGGTTTTATATCCATTTTAAACAATTCTTTTGCCACCCCATTGCAGGCTTGATGTGATTCACCAGTATGCCTTGACCTCACCTCATGAGAAGACTAAGCGCGGTTCTTCCAAGTGTGATTCCATGGACCCTTATTCCAGTGCTACCAAACAAAGCCGGAACCCCGTTTCCTTAGATGGGTTCAGGCAGGCGATTTGCTCTTTTAATCTCGGTTCACCTATTGTACCCGATGAACGGTTCGCTCGAATCTTGAACCTAACCGGAGGAATGCAGGAAGACGGAGCAGTAAGTAGTCACAGGATCATTTCACGTTGCTTGTTGTTTCTGAATCCTATCGCTACCGTTTTTATTACACGCATCCTCTATACTTATGTATGGTGACTTTGGACAGTACGGACGTTCCGTTGTCTCATGGTCCATCGTATTTCCGCTATCATATCGTTTAACACACGCCTTGCTGTGACGGTACAGCCTCGTTACACATTCTTATGAAGAGCGATGACCCTGATGATTGACCTCATGGACTTGTTAATTTTGCTGCCTTCAGTTAACGGGTGAGCAATCTTAGTAAAAAATGCCCTTACAAAGCGATCACTTTTTGGCAAATCACATCAGGCAAATACGATTACAAAGTTGATGGACAGAAGTACAAGCTAATGAAGGCAGAACTGGCTCACATTACTCGAACGGAACTCAGATCGATCGGATTAGGTGGTGTAAACCTGACAGATCGATAACTTCCTCATGAAACATGGCTCAATCGAGAGGTGAAAACACACTCGGTCATCAACAGTGTCCCATGCGGAGAAGATTTTTGTTGCGACCAAAGCAAAGCGAGATATAGCAACAGCATCCTCTGTTTATAAAGCTGTGATTGCGTCAACTTAATCGCAATCGCTTCATTTATCTTTAGAAGGCCTTTCTCAAGCCCCTTTGGATATTGTTTTGGCACGGTGTAGAAAATGCAGAGATTATCATTGGTCGGAAGTTCGTGTCCGCTTTGAGCCAAAAGTATCAGGAGTTCCATCATTCAATAACCATCCACGCATTTCGGACCTTGTTCAGTCTCTCATTAACCGATTCCATCGGTGGTGTTTTAGGACTACCCTCGTTTTTGAGCCTCCCGTCCGCCAAGGCTCTTGCATAGCACAGCGGACTGGAGGTACATCAGGATGTATCACCATGTTGTCCGGCAGAGAAAATCTATCGATCAATGAATCTTTCGCACATTAATTCATCTTTCCTATTGTTTCCTCTGACCAGGAGTGCCTCAATCGCATATTATCCCGGTTTCACGAAGAAATTGGTGAACTTAACTCGAAAACGTCCTCTAGTGCCACACAGGACCACGATGGTTGCGAACAGGAAGACCCAGACGATTGGATCGTCACGGATCGAAGCGGCAAGCGTCGCCCGCAAGCTCGACAGGTTTAGTTCCATTCCGTTTCGATGCATTCATTTTCTAGGCTTTAGCACTTGATTCAGTCATGTGTTTGTATCCTCTCTGTTTCTGGACGCCTTTTAACATCCACAACTTTTATGTCGACATTTATCTTGTTTGGGACCTGATTTTATCCTTATGCATCTGCGACAGGTGGACCTCAATTGATTCACTAAACTACGTTTGCACGCTTTATATTATTGATGAGAACTGATCTGACAACGACAAACGTCATTAGTTACCGTCGCGTTCCATCGTCTGTACCTCCAACCTGGGAATTGCTGCACTAGTGTCTTTACCGTGCTTCATCACTCTAGGTCTTCATTCGCTGTGCCCTTGCGCACTCTGGGTTCAATGACCAGACACAGTCCCTCTCACAAGAGATAGATGGGGTGTAGTCCAGTACTCGCTGGGTTGCCTAAAGTAACGAGAATGCGCATTCTGTTAGAATCCTTTGATTTTTGTGAAACCGGTTCGATTAGTTGACTGGAGGGGTAATTTTGACGCACGCGATGTATGCATAGACTGTGACGCCCATTGTCAATCTGGATTGCAACTTGTCGGCTTTGGTGTAGATGTTTCGGCTGACATACCAAACGTCCTGGGTTCCATTCCCTGTCCTACTACGGTATTACTGCATCTGGTGTTAGTAGCGTAGATTTACCAAGGAAGCCATACGGTTTCTTATCATCAGTGGACCATGCCAGCGACCCAACGGAAAAAGAACGCTTGGGAGGCGCACGTTTATGTCCAGTAGGAATAGGTACAGGAGCAGCCTGCGCGACTCCGCATCCAGGATGGAGTTTGGAGATGAGTAGAGCGGTTTGTGGTCAGAGCTGATGAACACAGTCTATGATACTTGCCACAACCAATAACTCCGTTCGAACCTTGAGTTCTTTCACCATTATCTTCACCTGCTAAATACAGGCGAGTACAAACCCGGTCATTGTATGCAGCGTTACGAGCGCACAACATTCAATATCCATCCGGTTCGGTTGCGACTTTTCATCCGGTTATCACCTCTCTGGATATCGATTTCTTTCTCACACTGTCTCAATTAGTTCACGACTGACTGGTACGGAGAGGCCGTCAGTCATAGGTGAAAGTGTTGTAGTTACAAGCTATCTTAACCCTTGGTAACATCCCATTCATTGTCGGACTCCAATGTGGTCCTCAAACTGTGCTACATAATCGATCACGAATGATCTCGGCGTGTACTGTATATGTGTGTCCAGTAAGCCGTATTGTTCCGTCCCTTATTTACTCGATGACTGCCGAACTAGTGCACTGTTTGAGATTGATTTCTTGGCTCGCGTTCTCTGTGCACCAGCCCTTTGTTAATATCGAACGGACATGCTTCTAATAACCGTGTGTGTATGTAGTCACCAGGCGTACATATTTATTCATGTTATCGTGGGGTCATCATAGGACTACATCCTTCCTTTGCTTGGTGAGGTTCATAGTCGAACATTTTGAAGTGCCCCGCATCACTTCCCATCTATGGTTTGAAGAATTTGTGGCGTATTATCGGCACAGCCCCAGTGCACTTACAGTTTCCCCTGTGTAAGTTTTGCTTTGAGTATCATCCCATCTGATCAAGCGTTGCTTGCTGGTCGGTCGAAGGATTACGAGCCTGCTTTGTAAGCCGGAGGTCGACGGTTCGGATTTGTGCATGTGCGGGATCCCTCGTAGTTTACCCAGTCTACGCTCGATTGTGGATGATCGCGCTTGGCAACGAAGCGTCGGTATGGTCTACCATTGTACGCTTGACGGTTTCTTCTTTTATTACTGGCTCTGGTGGCTTAGTGATAAAGGCGTTTATTAACAGGCATGTTGTGTTCGAGAACCCTCTTGGAGTATCCCTGCCTGAAAGTTGCGAACTAGCACGGGATCAGGCAACAGCGAAACGTGTCTCTACACACACTGCGGTCCTGTTACTCTGGTTCATCGCCACCTAACGACTCATGATAGGACTTAAGATTACCTGTCGCTTTTTACTAACTCTCTGACATCCACAAGGAAAATTAACCGGTCCAGATTGTGCGGATAATATCGTCTTGCTGTTTCACTATCGCGAGTTGACTCAGTTAACCCTAGATGCTCTGTCTGGATTGGTCCAATTATTTGCTACGCACTTCGCACCGTCAAACTGTTGTTACGGGACCACCAGACATTAGATCATACATACAGGCTCAGCACCTTCAGCGTCGTGCATGCTTCACAATTGCTGGGCAGTGCCTGGTAAATATGTAAACATTATCAAAACGCTGTACGTACATAGTTCGGACAGGGTGAGAGTTTATGGCAAACTCTCGCCACCCATCAAAATCACCAGCGGTGTGAGACAAGGATGCCCACTGTCACCTTTCCTCTTCAACTTCGCTGTTGATGAAGTCATGGAAACAGCGTTCGCTGGACACGACCTAGAAGGTGTAGAGCTACCTCCTGGTGAGCGACTTCTTGACTTGGAGTATGCGGACGATATGGCCCTAATCTGTGACAGCCCCCAAACATGCCAAACAGCACTGGACCGATTAGCACTGGCTGTCAATCGTTTTGGGCTGTGCTTTGCTCCATCGAAATGCAAAGTACTTCTCCAAGATTGGCAGGGACCCAACCCTGCGCTAACGCTTGGTGGTGATCTGCTAGAAGTTGTTCAGGAATTCAAGTACCTGGGCAGCTATATTAACATCTGTGGGAGTGAAAATGAGGTTACGAACCGTATAGCAAAAGCTCGAGCTACTTTTGCCAATCTCCGCCACCTGTGGCGCAGACGCGATATTACTCTTGCCCTCAAGGGCAGAGTTTACAACGCAGCCGTCCGTTCAACTCTCCTATATGGCTGTGAAACCTGGCCCATCAGGTCGACAAACATGAAGACGCTCGTCACATTCGATCATCGCTGCCTTCGCAGCTTAGCTCATGTCTGGTGGGAACACCGCGTGAGCAGTGAGCGTGTTCGACGTCGCGTATTTGGTGCAGGAAGAGCGAGTGAACCGCTCAGCACCATTATATCACGCACCAGGCTCCGATGGCTGGGCCACGTGTTGCGCATGCCAGCAGACTGACTTCCGCGACGTGCATTGTTTGCGCGTTGTGGGTGCAGTTGGAAGAGGAGGGGAGGCCAAGTGATGACTTGGTCGAGAGAAATGAAAACCCTCACTTCGAAGTTGGCGTCTGCTGGTGCCTGGGGTCCTAAGGACGGTGAACACGTTTGGTTGGACACACTTGCTGATATGGGTTGGAGCCGGTTCCAATGACGTTTGTGTTGTGAGTTCCTTTGTCCACCCCCCTCCTGTTGAGCATCCCCATCCAATCACGATCTCACTTGTTAGGCATAATATGACTCTCTTTTACGGCAGCCAGCTGTTAGCTCTCCGGAACGATGTCCATCCGTTACTGGGGACTCAGCGGGCGTGCCACCGTTTGTTTTTCTTTTCTTGTCCTTTGTATTGCGACACAATAGCTGAGGTGTTTTTCACCTCCAGCTAACGTGTAATGCTGATGATGATGAACATGCGTTCCAGTTAATCCCTTTAGCTTTTTATCAAGGAAGTTGCTTGTGGTGGTAAGGCACCACATCGATCGTGCTGGTGCCTATTGAACGGGCGAGTTGAACGAAACTGAGCCCAGCGTCTGAAGGCTGATCAATCTCCGCCAGTCGAGCAGCAGCGTCCACACGTGTGAGCGAGACTCGCCTTGTAAGCCCGTACAACTATTTAGCTCGATCGTTGAATATGCTGAGTTTCCGCCAGTGGCAGCCGAGCATTGGGGACCCAATCGGGAGCTTACTTTGCCCTGTAAATATATCTTCTGATCAAATAGATCCTGATCGCAGCCCAATCTTCGTTTGTGATTCTCGGACGGCGTTACATGACATTGCGTATATGTGGATAGGGCCTTATTTAACTCGCTAGGCTTCAATAACCAGAGAAGTACATCCGCACTTCATTGCGCGCGAGACGCCAATATAATGTGCTCACTTTTAAAGTCCAGCGATTTCCCATTTTTGCTATTCCTGCTGTCTGCTAGGTGACGCGTCTGCATTTGGTGTGTTGAGCTCTGCACAATCCTATGGGCGAAGCTGACCATTGTGGATAGTTTGTTCTGCGGAATATGCTTACCAGTTTTTGATGTAACTGACTTACACCGCTGCTTAAGCTGTCGAACTTTAAGTTTTTTTACTCGGCATGCACTTTCGTTAAATCCACCATGGTGATACGAAACTGGATACCTTCGAGTTGTAATCCATCAAATTGTCCTACCGTGCGACGCAGATTCCATGCGACCCGATATTGTCTGTTACTTGGGACTTCGTCGTCTGTAACATTGTGGCTTCTACCTCTAGTATAGTGATCTGTTTAACTAGCGGAGTAAGGTTGATTACAAATTGCGTTTTGGAAAGATGTTAGGTATCCCACAATTGACGCGTTGATTTTTATTTACCGATCAACTATCTCGTGAGTTTTACCTCAGAGTCACGCACTATGACACTTAACAATTGTCTTCCTTGGAGTCGAGAGTTTATTCCCTTTTTTCAAGTTTCTAGCTCGACCTCGGACATTACTAAATGATTGATCATGTTCGTGAGAGATCTAACACTTTACCAATTTGTTTCTATACCTAGTAATGGTAGTTTGCCTTAACTGTGACATTTTCGTCATCATACAAACTTGAAACGCGTTACCGATATGTAAGGAAGTTCGAAATCTCGTATTATTGAGTTCAACTGTAACTTTAAGCCTTTCATAGATATCTTATTGATAAATGTACGCTCTGTTTGCACAAGTATATAGTTGCGTTATTTAGGTTCCGACACTGCCGTGTATCCAATTAAAGGTAAATTCTAAGTCGCGACGAGGGATGGGTCCATCTCTAACGTGTTTGAACAGTCGACCGATCTGACTACCACTAGAGTAGATGTACAGCAAGGGCTGTTCACAACTAATAGCTGAGGTGTTTCTCGCCTTTAGCTTTCGCGTATTGTGTGATACGCAATCAAAATAAACTGTTTCAACCATTACTTACGAGAGCTTTCAAGTTCTAACGATCTCCGTATGTCCCCCCCATGGCTCAGTGGCATAAGCTGCTAGCAGCCATGGGTTCGATCGCCAGCAGCAAACCGAAGGAATGTACAGCGCAGACGAGCCACTGTAAGGCGAAACGATCGTCGGTTTCTTTTCCTGATTGGAGCTGGATTAATCTGGCATGTGAGCAGCTGGGATGAACCAGTAAAACGTTTTCACCATTGTTCGCAGTTGTTTCCTATCTACCGATAATTCAAGGATCAGTTGCTTGCACCGAACTCTGACATGCCCATAATTTCTTTTTTATTAGATCCAGCTTCAAGGAGGGCACAGTCAGATCTCCGATCTGTTCTCCGGTGTTCTGATCACCCGTTCCGCTATGAAACACACACAGCCGCCGACCAAAGGTCTATCGGTGGACGAAATGACGCGTCAGGCCAAATTGTTTTCCACAAAAGAGCCATTCTTCATACTTCCATTGGAAATCGATGATCAGAAAGTGCGTTTTTCGTTGCTCACAGCGGCGATACTTCTGATATTTTGCCCACGTCATCCAACCGTTTTAATTGGCGCTCGTGGTTTTAGCGGTCAAATGACTACGTTTTGTCCTTAATCCTGTAACAGTTATTGTTGGCATCATCAGCAGCTTTGCATTGGTGCTTTGTACCGACGTTACTTCCACACAGACACAGAGGTAAAAACAGCACTCGAACTCACTGGTCAGTTAGCCAAAATTCGGTCAAGACCCTACGGCCGTAAACGATTAGCCAACCACGCAGGATACCTAGAAATTCGTGGCCTGCATTGATCGTTTACAAGGAATAAAATTTATTTGCCACCTTCGTTTGCTCCATCTAACTTCCCGTTAAAGAGTATAGGATGGGTCGGCTCACCTACCTCTACCACAACATGCATGCTGGCACTGGACTGACTTTTTTTGCTGGTTGTTCACCAAGCTGAGCGATTTGTCTGCCGTGACTTTAGTCTGGCAGTATTACCCGCGTAGCTTACCGCAGCGACCGATCCAAGGTCCACATCTTGAGGATGAGTAATCGCCAGCTATATCCTAGGTTTGTCATTTGCCATCTCATGTCATAGAATTTTATGTCCGTTCCTTATGACTTCGACAGACGCTAGGCACTGTCCACGTGCTTCTAAGCTGTACTCAATCTGTTCAAGTGATTCACACAAATTCTGCGGAGGAGTCAGTCCTCATACATGTTGCTCGTCACTGCAACCCGGTTTTCGATGCGCATAGCGAAGTCCCATTAGCTAAGATCAATTGCATAATGGACTGATGTGTAGGTTGTTGGTTAGGGGCGCAAGCTGCTAGTGTCCACAGGTTAGGTTCCTGATAGAGCAGAGGGATGGGCTCCATTGTCGATTTTCTAGAGGTCGAACCGGCCATCTAGTGCTTTTTTCAACATGCAGACTATCTGGCACAGAAGTTGCTGTGGAAAAGCCTCTATTAACGTGCCCTATCCTGCGTTACTACATCCCACGAAAATATGAGCATCACTCATAGAACACATATCTAGTCACCTCCTGGAACAGTAAACCAAGAGGCAGCAGTGAGGTAGTTTTGTTTCCATTTTCGGTTTTAATGTCCTTCTTTATTTTGTTATAGGTCACATCGATTGAAACTGCCCTCACAAGGCTCACTGAAGCGGAACGGGTGTCAGACTACGAAGACAAGACAGTTGGCATAACCTCACAGCTAAATCGGCGTTTGGCAATCGATCGACTTCCGCCTTACCTCATACTGCAACTGAAACGCTTCGCTTGTGTCCCTCTGGATGTATCACTAACCAACGGTCATTCTGGACAGTCGTGGACTGTGCAGAAATCCTTAAAGCTGATCACTGTTCAATCCGAGTTTGTTGTCCCACGAAGTATGTCCTCTCGCCATCATGTCTCTTTTGACATTTTGGGTTCCATAACGTAGTCCCGTATTTTATCAGTTTCGTCATTAAGTGATGTAACTCGGATATCTACCAGCTCTTAGTTGCTTTTGAAAGCAGCCGGCGTCTCTAGAGTCCAAGATGTGGGTACAGGCCTACGTTGACCCGCCATCAGTTCGCGAATTTGCGTAACCAGTTTATCAACTGTGGTCCGCACACCGAAGAGTAGTGGATACAGTCGAAGCAATAATCGAAACGGTCTTATTCTATGAATCGTATTTTAAGGTTCGTTCCTGAGTGTTTGCAGTTCACATGCTCCTCGTCTGTTGGTACAAAATGAAAACGTGTCGTCCTATATCCTCGCCACCATTCCAACTGCAATTTGTTTTTTATCCTAAAGTGAATAACCGATTCACTATCGCCAGAAGACAACGCGTGAAACATTGACCCTTTCGTTTCTCTTCCAGAACTACTCAGCGATGAAAACACCTTCACTTTTGATCAGCGTCGTTATCGTCTGCATGCTGTGATTTTCCACGTCGGTCAGTCAGCCGCTTCAGGGCACTACACTGTTGCCATTCGATGGGGCGATCGGAGTCTTAATCGATCCGCAAATGATGCACCACCGAGTTTCCTTTACCTGGATGACACGCGCGCCTGTTGCCTGCAGGGTGTGGATGCAATCAAATCCCTGCTGTCCACACATCGTCCGCTGAATGCGACTACTCTCGAATTTGGTGTTGTTCCTCGTGATGGGCCAACTGCCGTCCATTCTGACATTAGCCAGCAGCCGCGAACACCGTATCTTCTTGTATATGAGGCTTGTGTCCTAGCTTCGAATCATCGGACTGGCTAAATAAATGCTACAAATGTATGTGACTTCGCTACTGGATGCCGTAGCTTTAATGGTCAACCCTGTCTTCTGCAAAGACCAAAATTTGCGTGACAGTGGAAGATGAGACACGATGGCATGCTTCCTTCACTCATCGCTTAATCGAGGGATGCACATTACTGACGAGTACCAATAGAATGATACGACTCTAGTGTTTTTCCAGACATGTGGGAGAGCTGCCATACAGGGAGTTGATTGCGACGAATCCTCACTAAGCTGCATCAGAGATTTCCTAACTACGAATAATTTCTGATAATTCATGTTCGTTTGGAGGTTAACGTCTAAGCGAGAATTTAGGAAACCCAAAATAGGTAAAATGAGCAAAACCTAATTAGTGCTTAGTCTGTTGCGTTTCGTAGCGAAAGCAAAAAAGTATAGTTGATTTGACATTATTGGCAACGACTCCATGTCGACGCAAGCGCTTCAGGAGACCAGATTAGATGATTTCTTTGAGTTGGGTGGTTCGTTTGCAAATGTCCTGTGCCAAACAATGCAATGAGAATATAAATGTTGCAAGATGATGCCTTTTTGTGCTCTCTGATCACATGCGAACGAGCAACATACTAAACGATCACTGAATGAAGGTATCGATAGTTTGAATTTTTAGAGGAGGCACATAACGACACAGACCACAGCAAAAGCACACATTGTGAAACAAGTGTCACTCTCCCCAAGGAGACTTGAGCGTGACAGTTTTTGTACACAAAGGTAAGCGCGGTTGCGATTAATGGCCACGACCTGTGCGAACTTGGGTATTTCAGCGTTCATATGGCGGTAGATAGTCGTAAACTCCGGGTGAGCTTAATGATCTGTGCTTAGTAGGTTGTTGTGTGGATAAGCTTGACCCGACACGTTGGTAACCGATCTCCGCCACAACATATTGCATTTACCACCGTCTGTAGCTGCGGAAGCAGTTACAGCTCGGTGTTTATGCAAGCTGGTGGCAGAGCAAATTCCGAAGTGGGTTGATGCCTATATGAGATGGAGCGGTGGTTAACCTCCGAAATTTCGACATCATCGATTGCTGAACACAGGTCTAGTTAACCTGGACCGTGACACTTGTTTTACAACTTGTGACTCTGTGCATCCTCTTCCAAAAACTTCAATCTACTGACTCCTTCACTTAGTAATCGTTTAGTATGTTGCCCGTTCGCATGTGATCAGAGAGCACGAAATGACCATTTTGCAACGTTCATCTTCTTATTGTATTGTTTAGAACGATACATCGAACACAATGCTTCAAATATCTTGCTACCAGAATGGTCAACAGCGCCACTGTCTAAAGGCAAGGTTCCTCACGCATATCAAGTCAGTATAAGCATTATGAACCCGAGTGGGTGTGCATTTTCAGTATTTAATAACGACTGCCGCGGATGTACTAAAATAGCACAATTACAAAAGTAGACAAAATAGCACCGGATGCACAAGTGTGTCACTCCAATAAACGGTCCCGAAGCTGCATGTTTCTTAAGTGAATAATTGGTATTTACACCCGCGTTTGTTAATCGGCACGATGATTCCTCAAGTTACGAAAACACCTTTCGACAATTTTTTCGAATGTGTTTGTGATTTAGTGGCAGCAACTCAGAGTTCTATTTTAATTGACAGGGAACAACATTAGCGATCTTTTAATTTGTCTAATCGAACAGTAACAAAAATATTTAGTAAAACGGATAAATCCGCAGCAGATAAAGTAAAAACCACGTTGCAGTAAAAAGGCAACAGCCGAGTTAATGGGTATGTTGCTTGCGCCCAGCACTTCATTTCGCGCTTGTTTGGAACGACATCAGTCTTGGGAGCGGATAACATCGCAAACTCTCAAATCACGATACCGTCACAGGGATTGGTGAGACCGAAGTTTACCCCTATGTGAATTGAAGCCCCAACAACAGAGGACACTGCATAAGATAAAGCTACACTATAATTCCTCGAGATGTATAGTATGGGCATGGAATTTATCGACAGCTGAAAGTACTGCTAGCTGAAGTAACCTAGTCTCCATTAGGTATATTTCTGAAGCAGGGGTACGGCTGCGCGGCTATTTCTGCTGTGACAACAACTGAAGTCGAAGCACCAGTGGATCGGATAGACAATTTCATGGTGGCAGGATACTAAGAGATTCGACTTATCATGCACTGGCACCGCGTGGCCCAAAACTGCGCTAATTTTATACCTTACGCTTTTGTACACAAAAGAGTTTTGACAACAGTTATTTTGCACCATTATGGATAAACAGAATTGGTAATAGCTCAGTGCTGCGAAAAAGCAACTGTAGCCGTTATTGCTTGGTGGTATACATTAGTGGTGTTACGTGCAACTGCGGCCATGAAAATTCTTAGTACGAACGAGTGTCGTGCTGCAGCTGCGGTCGGAAACCGCGATCGTTGCGAGCGAATCTTTACAATGAGGCCTCCGTAATGCAATTTCAATGCGCGCATCGCTATGGTATACACGCAGTCGACAAATATTGAAAGGAAGGAACCGGCAGTACGTGGGCACACCGTACCGGCGCTTTGCTGCTACTCGACCACCACTAGAGCCGCGCGAGGTCGCCCTCACTTATGCGGACTCGAAGCGCTGGAATACAACGTAGGTGCGCAATCTTTTCGGCCACCGGCTGACGTTACACACGCGGTCATTTGTTCGAAGGCAGCTCGACTTAAGTGCCCAGCACAGCGTAGCTGAGCAACCTAGGACAAAGACACGAAATGGAGTTGCTACCGTACCTGTCAGGAGAACAATGCAAAGAAACCGATTAAAGTGCGCGAGTTAGTCTATCCATCTTTAACATTGCAATCATAATAAGAGGGGAACCATGCTACATAAGGATAAACTTAAGTGGCAGGGAGTTACGGAGCGTGGAAATGCACATAGAGCATCAAATGCGGAAAACTTCATACAGCGACGTACCGAACAGGAAGTATTCGTAACACACGATTAAGGAAACCAGGTTTACACATAAAAATGCGTGTTTCAGAGTGGGTACCCGAAGTATTTCAGTCAGATCAAATTAGGGACACTGGACAGGGACAGGGCACAGGACGAATCGTATGGGAAGACGGTCGATGCAACTTCTGTACACAGAACACGCTTACCCTAAGCAGATGAACAAAGCGCCAATTCGTAGTGGAAAATCAGCAATATTTTTTGCTAGCAGCAACTTGGGTTGAAAAAGGCGACGTTCCGGTGTTCGTTACAACAAAAGCACAAAATGGATACACATCATCCAAAGCAAGGAAAAATGTTACGACTTGATGTTTGAAAAATATATACACGAAAATAGAACCAACGCTGGGTATCGATTTCAAGCCGCCGTTTGACTAGTCCAAAGAGGCTGAAAAAAGCTTTTCTGAAGATTCGCTGTGCTATCCATGAAGAATATTCAAATCTTCTCCAGATTGTGAAATTGTTTTTCTGCAAGAATAACAGCTTGAATGCAACACATTCAGTCACGGAAAGATTAAAAGACAAAGAGCGCAGGATATTGGTAATCCCCAGTGACGTAATGATGAGAGATCAAGCATATGAAGGTTTGGTAAAATGACCGGTGGTTTGTCAGCGTATCGAGATGACCAATTTGACGTCACCGGATAGTCATTACAACTGTAACGCGCCAGTTGCTGAGTTCACAGTACAAAATTTACAGGGGGCCTGTTAGTAGGCGCTAATATACTTCATGTACATTCGGTGTATGTATAAATGAATAAAGTCCAATAGCTATCCGAATGGGAACCTCGACTGCAAAAGGGTGACGGTACATCAAAGTCACAACCACAGCCGAAAGAAGTAAATGCGACACCGGTCCATACTACAGGTACGTGGACATCGCTTGCCAAGTTGCATACACTCAGGTGGTTAAGCCGTATCTCATTGTATAACAGAACTGCCTTTTCAGCATGGTAACACCATGTGCGCCTTAATGTAGATAGCTGCAATAGTTCCACTAGATTGTGGAAGAGGTGCGGCAGCTACTCGACAACTTTGACGGCTGGGTCTGACGGGCTCCAACCCCAGATTTTCAAAACCTTATCAGTCATCATCTCGCCTGCCGTAACTGACCTGTTCAACAGGTCTCTGCCCGAATGTACATTGCAGATTGATAGGAAATGCTTCGTGGTAAAGCCGATTCCGAAAGGCGGGGACCCCAGCAAAGCAGACAACTACTCGCCAATTGGTTTGACACCTATTCTGGCCAAGGTTGCAGAGAAGATTGTGAAGAAACGTTTACTACAGCTGTCCCGGTCCAAAGAACTGACGCCCACACTGCATAGCTTCACGCCAGGTCGTTCATACATCACTAACCTGCTCGTAAGGAGGCACGAATAAATGCAGGCAGTGAACCAAATGAAGTCTGTCAACATGATCTACATCGATTTCAGCAAAGCGTCCGACAACTTGAACTATGTGGTCCTCCTTCTCAAGCTGAGAGTGTGTGGTATTGAGGGATCTCTGCACCAGTGGATCCAGGACTTTCTTGTTGAACGAAAGTGAATGGTACAAGTCGATAGCGACCTGACCGATGGTATCCTTCGACCAGTGGTGTACCCCAAGGCACGGTGCTGGAGTCTACAATGCTCCTGATTTATATCGACAACTTATCTCAGCTTCTTCGGTTACCGTGTGCCCTGTTCGCAGACGACCTGAAGATATGGATAGTGATAAGCACACCTAACGACTACGGCTTATTACAAAAGGACCTAAACCGTCTTCCCGTGTGGGCTGCAGAAGTCCGCGTCTAGGTCAACTCATCCAAGTCGGTATTCATGAGCCTGGGGAAGGGTGGTGATGGCCGAACTTACACTCCCGACAGCCAGCTGCTACACCTAACACCTGTGAAGGACCTAGGAGTACTCTCACGTTATGACTTGAAGTCCGTTGACAACACGAACAGGCTATATCGTGACGGACTGCGCATGCTCTAAGCACTGACATGCAGTTTCTGCATTTGGTCTGAAGAGGTTGCCACTCGCCTCTTCTCCATCATCAGACCAATGCTTGAGCACAGTTTGCCCGACCACTCGCGGTGAGGCGCAGATTGAACGGGTTCAACACGTCGCTACTAGACTCATCCACAGTTTGTGAGGGTTACTGTACGAGGGCAGATGCGAGAGACTGGGACTGTTCACCCTAGCATACCGTCGGTTACGTGTCGACCTCATCATGACCTACCGGACTCTATATCTAGGCGACTTTCCCATGCTATGGTCACTGCACCATCTGCGAACGCCTTGCAGCACACGCGGACACCAATACAGATAGGAAGCGAGTTCCCCATCCCCTGTGCTTGGAACCGCGAGTGGTAAATGTCTGGAACGGTTTGCCGGAACATATAGTGGAAGCGAACCCAGTGTCGTTATTCAAACGGTCATGGGATGTGCGTTTCTCAAATATTAGATGCCGTGAACAATTACCCACAGGCATCTCGCATTCTTGAGTCCTAATCTACTGTGAGCTAAACGGTTTTTTAACGATATAACGTGAGAACGTGAAAAATGACCACCGCATTGACAAGTCATAGTTTGCTTTTTGAACGTTTTTGAGCATATTTCGATGGAGTTGAACAGATTCAAACTTCTACTTGCTCCCATAATATCGTATTCGTAGGTTGTATAAACCACATCGACATTCGCAACAAATGAAATACGCCTAATACACCGTATGCCTTTTAACGTAATAAGAACAATAGTGATAACTATAATGATCGTTCTACCACCGTATTAGGTGTATTCGTCAACACGTAAGACCCAGCGTATTTTGTACTGGTGCGGCAGCGCTCTCGCCTAATTATTGCCCTTATCCACACGCTAATGCACACGCAATTCTTGCTCACTTCTGATTGGTAGTTTGGACCCACTTGATCGATGAGATGTACAATAGTTGACATTGTCGCATGTTGTACAATATTCTGTTTTTAATTGCGAGAATCGTTTTCTTATGCCTGCAGTACTCCAGTTACGAAGATTAGATACGAAGGGAACTAACTGCTTTGAACGACATATAAACGTCCGCTGTTTTCACACTACTTGTCTCCGTTTCGGTAGCAGCTTTGCTCTCTAAGCGTTGCCATCTAGGATTCTGCGCTGGCAGAGAACGAGTTCAGTTCAATCGGAATCGCATACCAAGAGGATGATCTAATATCCAATAAGCGAGCTCGACGGTAAGAACATAGTCACAATCGTGTTCAGGTTTATTGTGGTTTCCAGTGGCCCGATTGCGAGTGCGACGAATCTGGTTGCCTCAGCGGAAAAAATGAAAGGGAAATGTGAAGAAAGATATAGGAAAGTGGATAGGACAATGGCAAATAAAAATAATCCACAGAAAAGATTTGGCTAATGAAAAAGCTAGGGTGAAAAAGGGACATCGACTCTGAAAATGGTGATCAATGGAAGATGTGGTCGGTTCAGGGATTTTGCATTCAGTTTCTTCGTAATGAAACAGCCGGTCAGTGGGTATATGGGGAACGTGACCAAACTAACGTAGGCCGCCCAACGTCAGTCACATAGCTTGCCGCAAAAACATAAGCAGGTCTATTTGAGCGTTTTTTCACTCGATGGTCCCACTAGATATGAGTAATACTTCGCGCGGCGAGTAGAGTGAGAATCGCCGTCGACCTAGTCTGGTATCCGTCATGGTCTTCTAAAGTAAAAAAGCAGAAGAACAAACAAGTCGGCCATGCAGTATCCAAATCGTCACATGTGCGTTCCTGCTACCTGCGGTTAACTGATACAGCTACTACGAACCTCGTAACATCCGGTACAAACCGTACAACAGGACCGCGGGCATACAAGCGTTGTAGATCCTACCATTTAAGGAGAGAGATAAGTCCCGACGATTACAAATGACTTAGATTGGTAAATGCCGACTGAGAGATGGCGATGCGAACATACCTCCTTCCCAATAGTGACATCAGCAGGAATACAGCTTCCAAGGTAGACAAGGCATGCTGCCACAGCACACACATTTGGTGAAGCTGATTCAGAATGACAGATGCGTGTTTGGAATCGAAAAGCAACGGGTTTGAGAATCAGTGCGACCGGTGTAACGGAAACAGTGTGATCGGTTCTAGCCACACAAATGTCGGATGAAAGGTGTCCATGGAATCTGTCTTTGGCAGTCTCTGAGCTGCAGTTTGTGCCGTTCATGTGTATACCAACTAGAGACACATTATCAGCAGACATTGCCTACTAACTTTAATGGAGCATCGACATTGAACTACATACATTTATGCGAATATCCACTGGGATCAAACTGTAGGGAACAGTGTCATCAGGACGCCCGTACCTTTCAGTGACGCTCCCCTGTCAAACGATTACAACCGGTGGTATGCTGGCCCAAATACTGTTCAGACCAATACCTTAACAGGGATTCGAATCGGGATAATGGAAGCTGCAAGTCAGATACAGATTTCAGCCTTTGTGCTGATTGAGAAAGGAAACCGCAGATGATGTGAACCACCGACTCGGTGACACCAGAAAAGGGGAAGTCGTGAACCAAGCAGAGGCTAGCTCATGGGGTAATATACTGTGGGCATGCTGTTGAGACAGTGACTCATAAAGAGCACAGAACAACAGCGGGAGTACGAAGGTTGAAGAGATCGGAGTGAAATGAAAAACACTTGATTTGGATTACGATTTAGTTAATTGCTAACAAGTGACGAAGCCATTGGCTACCTCACGCTGGTTAACCTGGGGAAAAAGGTTTGAAAGTGGCATGAATGCACTTGACTATCAATAGTGAACACAGCTGATCACATGATTAGTTGGCATTGATCTTGTCTTAGTTCCCTTATTTCATTGGCTCTTCGCTTGGGCATTTTAGCCACTTTACAGTAGGAAGTCTTCATTAAGCGGTTACACGCTACGCCCTCGCGATCCGCTTAGTCCAACGGGTTACGGGCCATACTTAACATTCTGACGACGGGGAGCGGATGGCAGAGCGTGGAGTCCAGACCGTTAAGCAAGACCTCAAGCCGACCCATGGAACTTGTAAACAAATTTGGATCGGGGTGTAGGATAACAAGGCATCAGAAGAAATGTGCCTCAATGATTATGATCCAGTGTATACAAGATTGCCTCACGAAGGAATATGGCAACGCGCTACACTTCTGTCCTCCATAAGTAACCAATCGGAGCAACACATGAAAGACGGTTCCGTGGTGCGCCGCCACTTCGACCATGTCCGACCACGCTCAACTGAGTCGCAGGAGCTGAGTCAGCAATCGACCACTACTGACACAAACGGATGAGGGATTGGCTGCACAAAGCAAGATGCTCCACACCGATGCGCAACAACTCCAAATAAGATGGTCCCAACACACGCCCAGCCAGTTGTTTAGCAGTTTTTACCAGGAAAGTGGTGAGTGTCACGGATGCACTTGAGTAATGATCGTGAACACAGCTGGTCACACGACTGATTGATAATAAGTATGCCTTACTTTCCATATTCTATTAGTTCTTCGTTTCGGCATTTTCAGCCACTGTGAGGTATGAAGCCTTCATCAAACGGTCACACGCTACACCTGCGTGTTCTGTTACGTCCATCGGACTACGGGCCATATTTAACAGAAGAAAGAGTAATGTTGACATGGTTCTGCGCACAGCCAATATCCTCAAGCTGTTAATTTCGAAAGAAGATGGGATGTAATCAGTGCGAACGGCAGCAGAGGTGAGCGTGGAACAAGAACTCACCAAGTTGACCGATGTATTGGTCTATCGCAGTTGCGGCCTCTTCGAGTGACTTTATGCGAGCATCGAACTGATCGATTTTGCGCAGCGATGGTTCGAGGGCAATATCTGAACGATGTGAAAGAATGCACAAATGAAAGGTGATAGTTCAACAACAACAACAACGTGACGGATTCCTGTGAAAGCCAACAAACACCCAGCGGGAAAATGTGAGCCCATGGATGTTCTGATGAAAACCGCTCTCTTTGGAAACGTATACAGAGATGGGTGAGATGCAACCCAGAACAGTAAGCGGAAATGGAACGTTGCGATTGTATGTTAAATCGAATCAACAAGAGAATGCGAGGGGCGGAAATCGAAGTAGCTAGAAGTGCCCATGGAATCCAATTACAGTGTGAACCAGGAACGGAAAAATGCCATATGAGAAACCTATTTCAAGCGCGCAAGTATGCGATGGAACCAGTCTGGGCCATGATCAGCGGTAGAGTCCATCTTATCTCTGACTTATAAACCATCTCGATGGCGTGTCGTCTCAAATCTCCTACTCATAGCTAATGTTTTCAAGAAAAGATAGCAAACGATCCCATAGCACCGCAAGATAATCTGGACACGGATTGTATGTGGTTGGTCCTAACCTTTCAACAGATAAACATAACTAAGTGTAGAGTGCTGAAGATACACGATGTGGATGTGTTCGAGTACCGGGGTGCAGAGTGTTTGTGGTAAAAAGGTTTTTACAGATAGCGATCAATCGGCGCCCGTGCAGAATAACTTAAGTTGTTCGTGGAAAATCGAAAAAGCATCACAATAAGACGAGAAACACTTTGGTTTTTTGTAAAAAAAACATTCATATGGTCCCCCATCTATGTCCCGCCCAAATAGCGAACGAATACACGCAACTGAGGACGATGGAAAAGTGGATTTATCACAGATAAAAATGCAGACGCTTAACATTTTTCCGTGGGTAAAGAGTGATATTAAAATTAAACGCATAAAAATCACCTAGCGGGGGACTTACCGCAAATTTCACATGTTCACATAATCTGGTTCCGTTGTTCCGTGTCCCAATAAGTGGGGTTAAATCAAAAAATGCAAGAGGTGTAATAAATCAAGTCGAGTTTTGTATCCGGTCAACGTAGGAGCGAGACTACAAAATGCTGAACTAAGTTCCACGGATAGGATGCATAAATAGAGAAAACGATCCTTTCGGCATCCCAACCGGCTGTACTATGTGGCTAAATTCAAACGGTAGCCTCTCAATGAGACTTTGTGGCTGTTACAATAAGGGTCGGCATGGGTGGTTAGAGTTCTTGAGAATCTGAGATCATCTCGCAGAAGACGATAGTGCCCATAGAAAACTCTCAGAGTCTTTAGACTAAACTGTTAAAGAAGGTGGAGCAAGCCCTGAACATTTTCTGTCGCCCTCTGTTGTGGCTTCTCAAGAGCGGTAAAGACATGTTTTAGCGAAGGCGTATCCTACATGAACCACACGTAAACGTGAAGCGTTTGCAAAAAGTTGGGATCAAACCGGCGAAACGTCCTCTGCAGATTGATCAAGTGCCGGCTGGCTTTTTGGCCTCTCCTGAGCACCTGAGATCGTGCCGCACGAGTACCAAATACCAATTTTATGAGAAGCACGCAGCAAGATGTGTTCTTGTAGTCGACATTAGTATGTGCTCTGGTGGCATATTCCCACTATTTTACACCTGACAGGATCAAACTCAAGCGAGTTCTGAGCCGACCACTCGTACGCTCTGTCGAGATCATCTTGCAACGCTATGTGGTCGTTCACTCACTCGATTAATTGCCAAAACTTGATATCGTCTGCAGAAAGTCAAGTTCAATATAACACTTCTGGGAGGCCGTTTATAAACACCAGAAATAGTCGTGGTCATTATACTGAATCTTGAGAAATGCCACAATGAACTTCTATCGGGTTGGACAGAACGCTACAAACCCGCTCATTCAAATGTCGTTGGAATAGTAATGAATGTATCCAGCGCAGGATAGGGTCAATGATCCCAAAGTTCTGGAGCTCGTAAAGAAGAATCCGGGGATCTAGGCGATCAAACGCCTCCGACAAATCAAGGTAGGCGGGGTCTACTCCTTCCTCAACATCGACGGATTCCGTTCAGCTGGCACGGTTTAACAAAAGGCGTCAACGGTTTTGGAGGAATACATGCTGTACTTGCAAAATAGTACTGCATCCATGAGTGCTTCTGCAACAACAGATTCTATGACTTTAGCAAGCAAAGGAAAAGTGTAATTGGGCGCTAGTTTGTGGATACTGGTGCCTTCGCAGTTAGGCTCATATATGGTGGGAACACGGTGTGAGCAATGAACATGTTCGGCACCTTGTTTATGTCACAGGAAAAGCGAGTGACCCGATCAGCACCATTGTTTCACGCAGCAAGCTCCGATGGCAGGGCCAGGTGTTGCGCACGTCAACCCACCGACTCCTGCGGCGAGCGATTGGGGATGAGGATGGAAGAAGAGAAAGGGAGACCAAGTGATGACTTGGTTAAGAGGAATGAAGGCCCTTACTTCGAAGTTGGCCTCGGCTCCCCGTTTGGGGTTCGAAAGACAACGAACACGTTTGGCTGAATAAACTTCTTTGCATGACAAGGAGCCGACCTCAATAGCGCTTGGGTTGTGAGTTTCTATTGCCCTACTCCTCCCGCTCAGCCTCCTCCAAGCACGATCTCATTTCTTAGGCATAATGGAACTTCTATTTTGCGGCACAATAGTCGGCTGGAACGATGTCCATCTGGTACTGGTGCCTAAACTAGCGTGTCTGTATTGCGTGTTTTCTTCTTATTTTCTTATGTACAGTGGCACAATAGCTGAAGTGTTTTCCGCCTCTAGCTAACGTGTATACTGATGATGAGAATGACAAGAGATGGCAACGCGTTCTGGAAATTACAAGCGAACTGATGTCTAAGAGCATTAGGTACTTCTCGGGCAGTTTGCGCTTGTCTACGTGCGGTGCTTAGAGGAGGGATGCCTCGCTGTACTTTGCGAAGTTCGTTAACACGCCTGTAAAATAGCTTAGGATTGCAGCATAACTTCCTCGCCAAATCCTGTTGGTGTTTCGGTTAATCTTCGCTGACCAATGTGACAGTGTTTACACCCTGTTATGTATGCATTCCAGTTTCCGACGTATGGTTATGTAAACTTTCCAAAGTGAACCTCATGGTCAGTTGTTCGCATCCCAGTCCACAGGAAGGACTTTACCTTAGCTAAGAATGCGTCTGTTAATACTGTGTTGTACTGATTGACGAACTCCCCACAAGCGACGTCGGAGGTTGTTCTAGTAGAAACGGTCAATCAGTGATCTTTATGAGGTCGGATAGAATATGACATGTTATTATGCGGACCTTTTCGATGTCCCTGTTGAACTGTTTTGCGTAGCAGACTTAACGGAAAAGTGGCGTTGCATGATCACTGCGCCCCAAGAGGGAACAAAATGGTCGGCTTGTTAGTTGTTCTAAATCTTATAGGGGAAGTAACGTGATTAAGAAGTGATAGCCAAGCGACTAATTCTTGTAGTTCGGTTTTAAACAGCTCACCCACGGAGGCCGGAAACTCTCGAGTGTGCAAGTCAGCCATAAGGAGAGCGTGAGTATTAGACTGAGTCAGAACATCATCATCAACATTATGCACGTTAACTAGAGGTGGGAAATACCTCAGCTACTGTGCAGCAATATATAAAAATGCAAATGCAACAGGTGCAAGCTAGCTGAGGTACCGGTAACGGATGGGCACCGTTCCGGTAAGCTATTAGCCAGATACTAAGCAGCAAAAATATTAATATGCAAGATTATATAAGGCTAAGTAGTGAGATCGTGGTTGGAGGGGTAGGCTAAGAGGCACTGGGTGGGACAAAGAAACTCACAGCGTGAACGCCATTGAGGTCGGTTCCTAGTCATATCAGCAAGACTATCCAGCCAAACGTGTTCACCGTTTTTTGGACCCCAATCAAGGAGCCGAGAAGCTCCGACCGAGGCCAGCTCCGAAGTGTGGGCCTTCATTCCTCTCGACCAAGTCATCGCTCGGCCACCCTTTCTCTTCTTCCATCCACACCCCCGGCGCGCAAACAACGCACGTCGCGGGAGTCGGTGGGCTGGCATGCGTAACACGTGGCCGGGCCATCGGAACCTGGTGCGTGAAATAACGGAGCCGAGCGGTTCATTTCCTTTTCCTGTGCCGTAAACAAGGCGTCGAACACGCTCGTTACTCACGCCGTGTTCCCACCAGATGTGAGCTAAATTGCGAAGGCACCGGTGGTCGAACGTAACTAGCCTATGTATGTCCGTGGATCTAAGGGGCCATGTTTTGCAAACTGAGTCAGAACCGTTTACAGAAAACAAAATGTGTTGTGTTTCCGCTGATCGCACGGATAACCACTGCAGCCACTCTGGTCACGATACAGCCGGCTTCCAAATCAGAAGACAAAGGCCTCTGGCGGAACTTGTGTGGAGCGCTAGGGAGACAAAATGTACAAGCATAATATGTGGTCAACATAAATAGTTCATGAGAGAAAGACCTAAGTGAAATTCGTGACGATAGAAACTAGTAGATGCTGAAGAACGCTAGTTGGCTGATAAAGTAGTGTGCTTACTGGAAGCTTCAAGAAAAGTCATTCTGATTGGTCCACTTCAAGGTAAAACGATACCATTGGCTTACTCACATTGGCTAGCCAATCGGCTACAGGCGGTATACAACCAATCTTCTCCGAGCTGCTCCAGACACAGAAAGAGAGCTAGCTTCAATGGCTGCTATGGGCGGGCCGCGGTATCAGAATGAAAGGTATCAGCAGTACCGACGCTTCGCTGCCGCGCAACCACCACTGGTCGCACGTGGATCAAGAATACTGCGAGAGTCGCCCTACTTCTACGCAGGTTCGAACCCGCGCAATCAGATTACAAGGCAAGCTTGTTACCATTAGGCTACGGGCCGGCTAGACAGTTGTCCATTTTCAGAGTACGTTTGGACTGGAACAAAGCTTTCATCAACTTGGGGCTACATCCTTCGCGCATAGATGATGAGGGCAGTCTTGCGATCGATTTGGCCATCACGTTATCGAGTGAGAGTGCTTGACGAAGGTAGCGCACGTCCTCAAAACCATGAACTTGAGCTTCACGTTCATCAAAGGTTTGAAGCTACGGTACGCCATGAATAAAGATCGACATTCCGTTTTTCAGATGGTGGCAGTCATCAAAGTTCTGTTTTCTTTGCTGACGCTCGCTCCAACGGATGTCGAAAAAAGTCTGAACGTCGCATGAGTCAGTCCGAAGGCGGGTGCTGACAAAAGAACCGCCACAACATCGTAGCGTCATTCCTAGCAGTCTTGGTTCCCGTAGCGGGTGCCGTACAGGGCACACCATGCTAGCCGGTTCAGTGTGGACGCCTATTAGCAGATAGTTTTCGGTCGCCCAGCAGCTTATGTTTTATGAAGTTCGCGTTAGATTTTGGAACACTGGAACATACGATCGTCTGCGGCTAGTGCGCTCGTCTAGAAGTAACCGATTTGTGAGATAACGGGATCTGAGATTTTGGTGGTTATGGGCGCATGTGTGGCACGTCTAGCGCCCTGTGTGATCGCCAAAGGTGTACTCAGAAAACTCGCTCCTACTTCTTCGACAGCGGCAACAGACGCGTATGTAGTTACGCTTTCAGTGGCAGCGCGTGTGTTCACGTGAACCGGTATAGCCAACTCCACAAAGTTGTTCCCATGAAATATCACCTGCGTCAGGATGGGAGTTGCCATAGTAGGTGGAACTCGGCTGTTTGCCTAGTTTCGGACTGGAGCTGTCCGTTTATCCAGCTTCAAAGTTTTACCCCTAGACTCTGTTTCGGCCAGCATATTCAGCAGTGGACCCTGGGGCTCCGAGCCCCGCTACGGTTGAATCCGAATGTTACACTGTCTAAATTCCTCGACCATCGCCGCTAGATTAGCGCAGTTCTGTGCCAAAATAGCTATACACCTAACAAGTGGAACGACCATACAATATTGTAGTACCGACAACAGTCTGTTTTATTGTTCGGAACCTCCATTTCCCTGCATTTAAACGAGCACGGCGTGACAATAGTTGCTGTATCCAGAACACAAAACACCAGATCGGATCGTTTTCCTACAGTCGCAAATGCTGCTCAGCCGTACCGTTACGCTTTATTATGAGTTGGACTTCGCTTCGTGTCATGTTCACAGTACTGTCTAAGCACAGAAATCGAGTGGAACAGCTGTCTATACACACGAACACAAGTACGGGGTCAGGCGACTGGTTCTCTGAAATGGATACTCGAGCTGGAGCGAAAATAAATAAACGGTATATTCCGCGACGGTGCGAGGCACGGTTCAACTGAGTGGTTTGATCAATAAGCGATGTGTTGATCTCCGATCAATAGTGACTGCGGTGCCCACTGCAAAAACTGGGTCTTTACAAGATTGGAGTAACAGTAGTGAACTGGTGGCTGTAGAACATGATGCATCGACCAAACACAGCGTTGGATGAGCATGAGTTTAGGCTATTAGTATAGCCTAGAAAAAAAACCTTGAGTGAGAGTTAAAAAGCCGACAGGAATTGGAAAATTGTATGGGTTCGCGCGAGAGTTTAAATAACGGCGCCCAAAGTGCCGAAAGTGAATGAGACGTTGAAGCGTTGGGAATAATCCGAGAATTTAACATCCACTTTGTAGAGCTGATAAATCCGAGTGGGATGAGTATAGACGCGATGATGAGCAGCAAGATAGTGACGGATAAACTCAAGAAATCGCGAACGCTGTAATGGTACAACCTCAAGGCAGACGTTGTCGGAGATGCGAGCCTCCGCGATAGGGACAAATCAAAAATACACCAAGCAAGCATATTCTTCTACAAGAGGGTAAGTGCATTGCATCTAATGTGTGAAATGAGATGGCAACTAACAGCGGTCGTTGGTTTCCTTCAGTCTGTGAGATATATCATCTGCCAGGTTGACGAGTTGGGAGTAATGTTCGGTTGAGCGTTCGTTTAGCTTCCGAAGAAGCCCACATTCCGAAACAATACCTGAAGCGGATGGGGTAATTGGAAAAATATGGTACAAAGAAGGAGCGAATCGTGAAGCAGCAGCGTGAAGATACGTAGATTAGATGGATCATATCTGCGGTCCTCAGGTGCGGCAGGTGCAGTGGTAGTGCAACACCTCAGATGGTCTGTGGTTACGTCCGCCGAATGGACGTGATTAGTACGACTATATGGCTGCAGCACTAATGTCGAATTCAGCTGCTGGAGTGAGTTAGGTTCAGTACGGTTTATTAACAATGGTCCGTGCAGTCAGTTACCGTGATGTACGTAGTAAAATCCTTATTACTATTGTTATTATTATAAAAATGAAACAGCGCCACTTACCCCTGGACTGCGCCATACCCAACAAGATGTGGTCATCGCAAAGGACCCCATCGACAAACGCGACAAAAGCCATCCGTTCAGCCCTTCAGTGAGCTTCATGGTGCCATGTTACTGAATAACCATCTCGAGGCTTTGTTCAACTGGGCGTGATATTGACAAACAATACAAGCCAAAGGCGATTCGATTTCAAAAGACACTCCAATGAGGCCCAGCGATGTCTGTTGGTAACTACCGCATGGCAAATCTCCGTATTACTCCCTTGGTTGCCCCAGTAGATATGAGCAATCGTATCAAACAGCGTTGGTCAAACACATTCGGTCTCCGAAAATTACGGATGGGATCGCTGACAATGACGTGGCAAAGCAAGAATGCAATCACGATGGTGGACTAGTGCGCTGGGGACAAAACGTGGGACGATCCAATGACATTGCCCTCATTCACAAGGTGCTGTACCGCATGTAAGAAAATAGGTATATTGTGCCGGTGTTTTGATATCTAGCAAGTACCGCTCGTCACTTACGGGCTAGGACAAATGGGATATCGTCTGGGCGCATGTCACCTCGAACCGGTGATTCCTATGGATCACAAATCAGGGGTCTAAGCCACTCGGCCACCGGAGGGGTAGTACAATTGTGTATATCAATTTAGCTGTGGTAAGTCTCCAGTGGAGTCACGAATAGCCTGCCACGAAATGACCGCAATTAAGCTAGTGCAGTACGTATCAGTATGCGAAAAAGACGGTGCTTTTAACATTATTTAATAACCACACAAACAGTAAGACTAAAAAAGCACATGTCCATTGAGACGAGTGAAAGCCCATCGCCACAATGCATAAGACTTATTCCGATGTGTATGCACACCACATGTGATGATGATATAGTGCCACCTACTAGCCCGATGCCACTACTGCCTCATTTACTGTATCGGAGCAGTTGCTAGTCGTTGCTGGGCGAGGGGAGTGGAGCTCAAAATATTCGTGGGAACACTGGGCTGGAAGAGTGGGCGGCTGTGGCCCCGCCGTCGCCCCGCGTACGTATACCTAGCTTACCTCAATGCTGAGTGTTAAATGAACAGTTCGCTGAGCCTGGCAGTTTTGATGCCACATGTTTCGTTACCAGTCCAGGTGACATTATCAGCGCGTAAGTGTGTAGCGCAGCGGAGCGATGCGTAAGTAGGTAGGTTTGAACCCGTTAGTAGCACGTGATGGAGCCTGCGGCTGAATTCACCCAAGCTCCAGTCACTGGTGTGTCCAGTAAGGGTGACTATAGAGGCGTTTGGAAACGGCACCTTTAGCATGATTCAAGGGGTTGTTAAGACAGGCAAACGGTTTCAACAACTGCATCGCGGTGATCTTCGATCCGTGACTGCAACGATGTGTAAAACTGGTTATAAATAACAAATTCGCAGGGTCTGGCGGTACTGGTTACAGTGAGGAGCATTCGCGTGATTGACCCGTACTTACTGTCCATAGAACATCCAATGTAATCCGATATGGCTTCAAGTGCAGCACGGAGTTGCTGGCGGCTCTCGGCAGATGTGGACACAGGACTCAAGAGTGTCGGTGTGTCTGATGATTCGGAAAGTCTACTACCGAATAGGCCCGTCGGTTTTCCAGACACCACAGATGTCGACGGGGACGTCGGACCAGACATTCAATGTACAATGCTGAAGAAAAATAAATCGATTTGGAAACTGGACCACTAAATTGCGATAGGCAAACGAAACACTGGTGCTTCTGTGATGCGCATGGAGCGGGAAGCTCACGAAAAAACGCGACTTGAATCGTGGGAGAGACATAAAGGTACAGAAACGAGTAAAATATATGCTAGGGCTAAAAAAAGTCACTGACAAGCAATAGGTCAGTGAATATGCGTTTATATGCATGGATGTGGTCGCTTCTTCTGGACGAAATACGCCAACACATACTAGATAAAGGTGGTATCATGATACAAGTCGGGAAATGGCAAACTAGATGAGCCATTAGGCCAACGAGCACAATGTGAAATCCAAAGTTTCCGGGCACAATTGTTACTTTCCAGTTCACGAAATATGAATCACAGCATTGCTCATAGTTGGAAACCTCACTGTAGACGACAGCTCTGAAAGAAAACACTAATGGAATACGTTGTATCACCGACCTGGCGTTATGTACTCCGCAGACGTAGAGTGGGTGCTGGTCAGGCATACAAAAGAGAGCTGACGCGTCTAAATATGACCCGATGTGGACAACGCAAACGGAGCAAAAGTCTACTAAAGCGAGCGTAACGCACGAACTAATAAACACAAATCAACCGCGGAAAGTGAAAAGAAAATCGAATATAAGTAACGTGGAAACGTCGTGCCCAATGCAGCGGTACGTTCGACCCTACTCTACGGTTGCGAAACCTGACCCCTAAGATCAGCAGACATGAAGAGGCTAGCAGTTACGTTCGACCATTGGTGCCTTCGCAGTTTGGCTCATATCTGGTGGGAACACCGCGTGAGTAACGAGCGTGTTCGACGCATTGTTTACGGTACAGAAAAAGGAACAGAACCGCTCATCACCGTTAGTTCACGCATCAGGCTCCGATGGCTCGGCCACGTGTTACGCATGTCAGCCCACCGACTCCAGCGACGTGCGTTGTTTGCTCACCGGGGATGTGGATGGAAGAAGAGGAGGGGTGGCCAAACCATGACCTGGTCCAGAGGAATGAAGGCCCTCACTTCTGTGCTGGCCTCGGTTGGAGCGTCACGGCTCCCTGGTTGGGGTCCAAAAGACGGTGAACACGTTTAAGTGGATACACTTGCTGACATGGAAAGGAGCCGATCTCAGTGGCGTTCCTGCTGTGAGTTTCTTTGTCCGTCCACATCCCTTTTAACCTCCCCTCCACTCACAATCTCATTTCGTACCGCAAAATGTAATAACATTTCTTGTCGCCTAGTAGCCGGCTGATACCTTACCGGAACGATGTCTATGCGTTGCTGGTAGCTCAGCTGGCATTAAACTGTTGTATTTATTTTCCTTTTTCTTTATGTATTGAGGCACAGTAGCTGAGGTGTTTCCCACCTCTAGCTGACGTGTATAATGATGATGATGTGCCCAAATAGCTCCCTTCCCATTTAGGTACAGTATAAACCATACTTTGCTTTATAAATAACGGATTTTGATTATTTCCCACTCTCGGAAGACTACTTGATAGGGATGCCAATCGAATAGCTTGACGGCGGGAATAGGTGGTGGAACGCACCAGTATGGCAACGGCAGCATAAGGGCAATAGTTTCGCCTTCGTATAATCTAAGCCGAAGTACGAGGACAGTAGAGTGTCGCTCAGTCAGAAGGTACCAACATGCATTCTTAGGGTGTTTAGAACATTCGGATGCCAAGTAATGTGTTTTTTGATTTTGATACACAATCTGCATCGAGACAACGGTTTGTGAAGTGGTAGGCCATAGCTATTCCAATCACCTTGAGCAAAAGCGTACAAGGGGGTTATACACAAGCGGAGTTCGCATACAAAGTTGGATTTGGAGTGCCCGCCGTGTGGTTGGATTGCGACACGTAATCTCTATTGAGATTTCGGTTCACTTTGAAGTAGACCTCGGTCATTCCGATCACAAAGACCATGTACGAAATAGAGGTATTTCGGTGTTGCTCCTTCCAACAGTGACACCGCATAGTTTAGTGGCATGGTGATCGATGCACCGAACGTCAGTGACTACCTGACCTGTTCCCTCTCAGGCTATCTGTGCCTGAAAAGTCCAAACAAGAAAAAAGTCGGGTTTGGGGTGCAGTGGCTGGATACACTTGTTGACATGATCAGGCGCCGACCTCGATGGCGTGTGAGTTGTGGGTTACTTTGTCCCTCCGCATCCCGCTTGTATTCTACCCCCAACCAGGATCTCACACCCGATGCATAATATGACACTAAGTACTATATTACTTCTTTTGGTCTTGTGTTTTGCATCCTATAAAATTTACTATCTTGCTTTTTTCAAGTCATTTCTTTAAATTGCGGTACAATAGCCGAGGTGTATCATGCTTTTAACTAGTGTATGATGATGTCCTGCTAGCAAACATCTAAACGCCAAGGAAAATCGCAATCTAGTGAACAGCTTTTGCTCACATGGTCAGTCAGAGTAATGTTCAAAGCGATCAAGTAGCAGCATCCAGGCCATGTGTCTGAGTCGGATTGCCGTGTCTCAACTTCAAGGGTCCAAAAGTGGGTGAAACCGGACATGGATCGTAAAGACTGAATAAGCACTTAAAAAGTCATTTCCATTTTTGTTGATACAGTATGTTAGGTTGACAGTTTTGCAAGCAGAACGTTTTACTATAAACAGAACTTCGAAATAATAAGTTACACGAAGAGGATATGTAAAAGATGAAAAAGAAGGACTGAGGTCACGTGGTTAGCACCATGCAAACAATGGCCAAGATGTTCATAGAAGAAGACAGGTCGTCGTAGCAAAAGTAATTTATGGGGAAGGCAGTGGCAAATAGTACGACAATCGAGCGGGGAATACTAGTCTGACTTATCAGTCCATTGAGGCATTGGTTGCTTGTTCAAAAACGCCTCGATTCCCTTTTTCGTATCTTCCAACTCCAAATTCTGCAGCATCACCTGATTGGCATACTCGTAGGCGTCAGGGAGATCGAGCGACATCTGGAAAGTAATCGGAGATGGAAAATGATCGACTTTTCTGGCGACTACCAACGCTACTTGATGTCCATACCGCAGGGACTAAACGACTGTGAGACACAACATAAGCAAGTGGAATAAAAACGATTATAAGTTCTCCATCTGCCCTTTTGTTCCACCAAATTGAGCGACATCAATTGTTAGGTTTGTCTGTGCACCGAAATAAGCAATAACAAACATATATCTTCAAAGAAACTGCTGAATTAAGCAAACACATATGTGAAATCAAATTGAAGTGGCTAGATACTAGTGAAACCCAGGGCAAAACGAGTTATAAGTGCGCGTATAGCCGACCAGGAAAGAAACAGGAAGGAAACCTTACTTTTAAGAAACAGAGAACGTTAGCGCCACATACAACTAAGTATGCCAGCTACCATAGAAAGGTGCCCAGTCTCCAGCACCATATGCGTTCATGCGGCGAACGAGGAGACCCCTTTTAGAGGATTTCCTGCATGAAACCATGACAAAAATGGACATTCGAGAAAGATAAAACCGCGTTCACTTGGGAAAACGAAAGCCCAGAAACAAAGCGAGTTAGTGAGTAAACAGGAATCTGGAAAACTACCCCGGACTCAACACATTACACTAGTGAACAAGTAAATGTTTATGGGAATTCAGCAACTGAGAACCTACCGCAACACGAGTCTGCTCAGCGTAGACGAAAAAGCTCTTAGGATGCGCAATATCTTCGAACACGTGCTAGTTGTTGGCACAGAATTGTGCAATTATGTAGATGTCGAGCGCAGGAAGACAGATAGGGCCCACATGGTAATTTAAAGCATAGGGTCCTGTTGGTGTTGATCACACGCTTTTAGAAATCTCCAACACAGACGGTTAAGGGTGTGCAGACAAGTGAACATTCAAAAGAGGAGTAGTGGCTGATGAAGTAAAGCAACAGGTTACGTGGCTGCAGATAACAAATCGACGGGACGTCCACACACGGTAGTAAAGAACAACAGTAACTATTACGATCCGCGTTCAGTTTAATTCTGGTTATTGACAAGCATCCCTGAATGCACGTTTGGTGCATCGCGTGGCAGTAACAAGAGTGGGATTGACAACATATAAGGCTTCCGGATAGAGCAGTCTGGAGATGGGTGTTTATCCGGGATAAGGTAAAAACATCAAGGAACCGGTTATTTCAGTAATTAACCGATTAATTTCGAATGTGCATTGCTTTCGAGGATTCTGGAACCTGCCGTTCCTTCACGTGTCTGCCAACAAGGAACTTACTAATTTTACCAGTAGACCTCCGTTTTCTAGGGGGCGAAAGCCATTGCGCGATCTATCAATTTGGCGAAGGTCTGGAGCAGTTGTAAGGCGTTTTGGTGGCGTTTGGTTAACAGATTTTTCTCGGTTCAGATCGTTGGACTTATGATTTTTCTTCGGCTGGACTAGAAGTCTTGCAGAGAATTTTGGGTTTTAATTCGGAATGGCGATAAATTTTGGAAGATCTAACAAGGGTGACGGAGAAACAGGAAAATGTTACGAACTTTTTCGCTGATCATTTTCAAAAGCTGCTCCTTCAACAACAATCCCAGATGGAAGCATGGATGAAGCTGACTGAACGTTTGACGCAGTGCTTGAATGTACAGTCAAACGAAGCAGCTACGCGGGACTTGCACGCCATTTTACTTGATCTTCTTACGAATTTAATCACCGAATTTCATAATGATGCTGATTCCGAGTGCACTTTAGAGGCGTGGTTCAAACGCTGGGAGAAAATGTTCCGGACGGATTTCAGCTGTCAAGACGATTCATGGAAAGTGCGACTTCTGCTCCGCAAACTCGGTACCAATGAACACGTTTTTCTCGGTCAAAGTCGTTGGACTTTGATTTTTCTTCCGCTGGGCTAAAAGTCATGCGGAGACTTTTGGGAATAGCGAGAAACTAAGGATGATTATTTTAGACATTTCGTTGCCAGACTAGGCCATATCGTCGCTTACGAGACTTTGCGAAACAAAATTTTGGAACCGCACTGACGATGTTGCCTAGTCTGGCAACGAAAACGTCTGCGAAATAATCACCCAGCTCGGACAGCAGTGCAAATCCCACATCCACATCTCGAGCTACGGATACTCTTAACCATTTCAGAGTAGTCTGGAACCATGAACAAAGGAGCGAACGTAAAGGCACCATTGATTTCATGATTGTACCAGTTCCGGATGAGAGTCTAACCACAAGAATGGCTGAGAAGTGACAAAAACACATTTTCTGATGGTGTCCTTTTTGAGGACACTTATTAAAATGTGATTTAAGGCATTGTATTATTCGAGTAAATAGAATTTCTTAGTCTGCAAATTTGGATAACATGCTGATTCCAATTACTTGGAAACCATTTCAACCGGCTCAAGTTAACTTCTGAAAAACAGATTTTCTTTCCATGTATGATCCCAAAAAGCGGATGAAGTGTAAAATCCAAATAGGTGGTGTACATTAAGTGTTTATTCATTGAAAAGTATCAAATTTTTAACATATTTGTGTTGTTAAATGCTTAGATCATATTCTCACATTTACTCATTTGAAATGCGTGACAGTTATCGCATCAATGAGCGGCAACCAGATGTCCTTCTCTAAGGACGCCAGCAACACCTGATACCGTGACATGTAGCATAACTAAGTTATTGATAACATGATTGAAAAATTGCCCTATTTCATCAATATTTTGATACATTACGCTTATACTATTGTATTGCGAAACATATTGGATTGTAATAACATGCCTTTTCTCTTTTAATGCTATTGTCTTTACTGAAATTGCATGTTACATTTTAGTTGGATAAATTTTTGTCTACAGCAGGAATCGTGAAATATTTCCCATACAAGATGTTACCACCATGGTAGAAGCAGTTGACGGCGTCCTAGAAGATAATATTTACATTAGCCTTCGGGTGATGTACAAAAGTCTGATGAAGATGATATCAATGAACTGATTCAGGATGCCGGATATCATACTAGTCTGTCAGCGAAAAAGTTACTCAGTGACGCTGAGGCTAGCTTAGCATTGATTCATGGATCAGTAATTAAAGTCAACATGGAGGGCGAACCATCCGAAGAGGAACCAGAGAGCAATAATAAAAATTTACAAGCTGTTGCCCCTATGTTTGTTTCTCCAATAAAAGTCAAAATGATAACAGACCTAGGCTATGGAGGGAAGAAGACTTATGTCTAGGAATACAGACTAATAGACAATGGTCTGAATGTCCGACTAAAGGAGAATCTTACACCGTATAAATCATGTGAACGGTTCTTTGAGGACATGATAAGGCCCGTACAAAAAGGTGATCAATCATTCAGTATAACCACGCCTAAAATGTGTACTTTTCTAGATATTCAGTTTATCAATAGCTCTAACCCATTACTAAAAAGGTATACGAATTAGGATCCAGAAGAAGATGACCACAATGCAGCTTTCAGTCAAACAACGAATCGGAACAGATTGGACACAATCATGTAGTATCTTCATCTAGCAACCAATAGCAATCTTCAAGCAGATGATGAATTTGCAAAGCTTGTATCACTTTAGGACTTAGTCAATAGAAGAATTATGGAGTTCTGCCCCTTGGAAGAAAATCTGAGCGTCGATGTAAGCATGATAAAACATTACAGCAGTCAACGACTGAAACAATGCATCAGGAAAAGTCTACTGGCTTCGGGAAATAAATGATGATGGATGATGTGTCAGCTGTACGTCGTAACGGCGCTTCGCTGCCGCGCGACCACCACCAGTCGCGCGCGGGCTGAGTATACCGCGAGGGCGCCCACCCATACGCGGATTCGAACCGGTGACCTTATGGTTGCAAAGCAAACGTGCAGACCACTCGGCCACCGGAAGACTCGGGAAAAAATAGTGGACTATTGCAACATATCTATGTTCTGATGCTTAGCTGAATCATTACCATAGACAGTTGGGAAAATTCGAATAGTTCCCGAAGTAATCTAAATTTTTAAATGTCAATATTCATGTGAGTGTCTTTTTCAATATTTGCTATAAAAATGAAGAAACCCCAGCAGAAAGTGGGTTAGATGAATTCCTTCGTGCCCCTTTGCCGACCACCTCAAAACAGTAAATAGAGAGCAGTGTAGATAGAAAGTGTTTACCTGCATGATGAGCATGTAGTTGGATGTGCTAGAGTAAAAGTGCCACTGGACATTGGAGCATAGGGCTAGCAATTGCTCGCATGAACAATATTCTATGAAAGACACGTATGGAAGGAAAGGGTGATTGTGCCGAGCTAAAGTGCATCGTGAACCAATTAAGCCGCGCCGATGTGTGCACAGAAGTCCGATTGATGCTTTTAACATTGAATTTGTGTTTTATTCCTTTTGTATAGTGCACTCGCTGGTTGAGTTTTAAAACCCTCTGTTCATAACAGAAAATAACGTACGAGCACAGCTCATGACGAAGAAGGACAAGGTGAGAAAAACAGCATCGCGTTGCGTCTGATGGGTGAACATACTTGGGTGGACACGGCGCGTTTACCCAAGCAGACAACAGGTCTACTGTGTTGTGCAATTTCACGAGCCAAAGTCAAACCGGCCTCGAACACTTGGTCATCTGGCACAACCCGATGGACCAGTCCAAGTGCATATGCCCGCTCGGCAGTGATGTTGCGGCCTTCAAAAGGAAAAAGAAAGGGGCGGATAAACGAGTAGCAATATTTGACAACAAAAATTACAAGCTAAACAGCTGATTTAGAAGGCAATATACCCCAGGTAAATGAGAAAGTTAGTAGACTATCAGCAATCCGCACATTTTCATCATCATCATCATCATCATCATCATCATCATCATCATCATCATCATCATCATCATCATCATCATCATCATCATCATCATCATCATCATCATCATCATCATCATCATCATCATCATCATCATCATCATCATCATCATCATCATCATCATCATCATCATCATCATCATCATCATCATCATCATCATCATCATCATCATCATCATCATCATCATCATCATCATCATCATCATCATCATCATCATCATCATCATCATCATCATCATCATCATCATCATCATCATCATCATCATCATCATCATCATCATCATCATCATCATCATCATCATCATCATCATCATCATCATCATCATCATCATCATCATCATCATCATCATCATCATCATCATCATCATCATCATCATCATCATCATCATCATCATCATCATCATCATCATCATCATCATCATCATCATCATCATCATCATCATCATCATCATCATCATCATCATCATCATCATCATCATCATCATCATCATCATCATCATCATCATCATCATCATCATCATCATCATCATCATCATCATCATCATCATCATCATCATCATCATCATCATCATCATCATCATCATCATCATCATCATCATCATCATCATCATCATCATCATCATCATCATCATCATCATCATCATCATCATCATCATCATCATCATCATCATCATCATCATCATCATCATCATCATCATCATCATCATCATCATCATCATCATCATCATCATCATCATCATCATCATCATCATCATCATCATCATCATCATCATCATCATCATCATCATCATCATCATCATCATACATGTCAGCTAGAGATGGTAAAACACCTCCGCTATTGTACCGCAATACATAAAGGAAATACATACATACATACACATTTGCATCACAGTAATAACGTTGCAAACGAACGACAACAGATAAAAGGGGGACTCTGATGCAAATCCCAGTGCTCTAACTGAACATCTGGAGTCAAGGCACCGACAACTTGCGAACAACGCACGATCATAAACAGATGATTATGAGGAGAAGATAGAATGACATTTGTGATACAGCTTCCTCGTAACTCTAAGTGCCGCGCGTCACAGTTCACTTCAACTCAAAGGCGACGTAGGATTATACACATGGTAAAGAAGAAACATGGTAGCCGAGAACGGTTTGCTGTCTGCACAGAGTGAAAATCGCAGGTACCAAGTTAGAAGGTGAGACGGAAAAAAGCACAAAGTGTGGCTATAAGTGAGTTCATTCTCGCTAACAGATAAACGATTACCTACTTTCGAATATACGTTCGATAAAAAAGTATCAAATAAGCGTGGTTGTCACGGCCCGGTACTGGGCTGCGCGCTTCAGCGTTTAAGATATGCTGGTGTTGCATGACACTTTACGATAGCCAGAAACCTGAAAGAACCTTAAGTCATGCAAATACGGCTTTTAGGAGCACTGAAAGCTATTATGTGGTGCCAGGGATGCCACGGAATCGGAAGACATTTCTGGAGGTTGCATTAAGTGAGGAAATTTCATGCGCTCATTGGTAGTAATGTAGTAACTGGGGCGAATTGTTCAACTAATGAGTTCAGAAAGCCATGCGCTCTCGTGAGCTCCAGATCACTTCCACCTGGATCGCAAGTCCTGGAATTCAGTGGCCTGCAAACCTGGCACAGTATTAACATCAAGTGATACGTATATAACGCAGGGTCTGATGACCAACAGCACTTCCGGAACTATGAGAAGCAAAATACAGGTATTCTATCCAAACAAAACAGCTCCAGTCACTATTCCAATCACTTGCACCACGCGGTCCTTCACCTCAAGTGCTGACTAAAGCCTAGTTGGTGGTCGCCTATACCGCATTTTCTGGGAAGTCATATGATACATAATTAGTTCGGATTGATAATGGAGCTCGAGGATTGTGCTGCGGCACACTTACTCTTTCATTGCGCGAAATTAAATAGATATCTTATGGTACGTAAGCACACGGCCAGTAAATCGAGTGGAAGCGCATGCAGCGTAGTAACCAACGCTGCAACTGTTCCGTTTACATTCTTAGCAGGACACACCGATGTTTCGATGCTGGTCTTCAGTGGCCTCGCTCATGGCTCACTAAACGAGCCTGACGCAGGCATGCGCGACCGCATGTGCTACAGCACCATGCGCTTAACGTCGACAGAGTACAGCCCATCGGCACCTGTCGCATCCGCACTTACCGTTTCTTATCCGCATATATATATATATATATATATATATATATATATATATATATATATGGTTAGTGCCATCGGGTTTCGGATTTGCCTGTCACTGTTGCCAACCACAGGACGCCTGCGCCTACTGATGGACCATGGGTCGCTTGCGCTGCACCAGCCACAGCTCCAACCACACACCCCATATCCAGTGTAAACCCGAAGGAATAAGACCGGGAGGCATGCGGATGGGAACCACGTTTCATCAACGGAGCCGGCCCACAATCCTTCACAGGCAAACACGAACACGCTGTATTTGGGAATCAAGCGCACACAAGGCGGTGGCTGGACCGTAGTCCGCTCCACACTGAGTGCATGGAACTGCTCTTCGAGCCTAGCACGTCTACAAGGACCGGACACCCCGTCCCCTCCAGCAACGACAAACTGTCTCCTGGAGCCAGTACGAACTAGGTAGTGGGTAACAGACAGGTAGGCACCTTGTCAACATGCACATCAAGCGCAGCCACACCGGGGATATCACGCAACAGCCAATCACTTGAAACGACAAGATGAAATAAAACAAATCCAATTATGCATAGAGATACGGTGGCATAATTATCCGCTAAGTTAGCATATGAAGTAAATTCATCATCAGCATCATACACGTTAGCTAGAGGTGGGGAACACCTCAGCTACTGTGCCGCAATACATAAAAGAAAAAAAGGAGAGAAAAAACAACAACTGGTGGAAGCTGGCTGAGCTACCGGTAACGGATGGGCATCGTTCCGGTAAGCTACCAGCCGGTTGCCGTGCACCCAAAAAAGAATTATTATACAAAATTATATAAGGCTAAGTAATGAGATCGTTGTTGGAGGGGGAGGCTAAGAGGGATGGGGTGGGACAAAGAAACTCACAGCACGAACGCCACTGAGGTCGGCTCCTAGCCATATCAGCAAGTGTGTCCAACCAAACGTGTTCATCGTCTTTCGGACCCCAACCAGGGAGCCGAGACGCTCCAACCGAAGTCAGATCAGAAGTGAGGGTCTTCATTCCTCTGGACCAAGTCATCGCTTGGCCACCCCTCCTCTTCTTCCATCCACACCCCCGGCGCGCAAACAACACACGTCGCGGAAGTCGGTGGGTTGGCATGCGTAACACATGGCCGAGCCATCGGAGCCTGATGTGTGAAATAACGGTGCTGAGCGGTTCATTTCCTTTTCCTGTGCCATAAACAAGGCGTCGAACACGCTCGTTGCTCACGTGTTAGCAACTAATCCGAGATAACGAAAAAACGTCCACAAGGTACTTAAAAATGCTACAAACGTAACAAATTTACCGAGGATAAGCGCGATTTGTGTAAGCAACGTAGCCAGTTAATACAAGATTATTCAGGTAGGCAAAACAAACCAAATAAAGTGAAATTAAATTTAGACAGCTTCAAAAGACCTAGTTTAAGTGTAAGTTGGTTTAGCCCAACTGCGGTGAAGAAGCATCAAGAATGAATGGAATGAGTATATATATATATATATATATATATATATATATATATATATATATATATATATATATATATATATATATAGTCGATTCCGGTTAATCGGACCACATCGGGACCAGACCATTTTGGTCCTATTAAGCGGCTGGTCCGATTAACCGAAGTTACCCGATGTAACAAGATGGGACGTGCTATACATAACATAGGAAACTACTATTATGACCTGTATTGGCGGCATATATTTATAGCAAACACACAAAAAAGAACTGCTTTGATAACGAACTTTGTTCACTGAAAAAGAAATTTACAAACAAATTCTTCGTAACGACCTACAAGATATTCAGCTTGCAAAGTACAGTTTTATACAAAGGGATTACCGAATTCCATTCAGCGTTTGAAGGCCGTATCCAGTGTGGTTTGACGCATTCTTTTAACAGACTGCATTCACAAAAAATCACCACAAACATGTAACGCAGTAATAGGACTACCTTCATTTCCTTCCTGCATGAAATAGCGGTGCAATGTTTCGATGCATTTCCTTGCACTCTGTTTTGTGACTGGCATCGACACGTTAGGGTTCTCTTCATCACTTCCATGGTCTTCTGTTGCTGTCGTGTGTTTCGCTGCTATTCCAGCAACAATGGCAGCATCGCATACTTCATTTCCATCATAGAGTTGAAGTTAGTTGTCGATTGACAAAAATTATCGTAATTTTCAACTTGTTTCAGCTCCACATTCTCGTCGTCATTTTCATTTACAATCACCATATCCACATCCATCTCCTAGACAATATGCTTAAAGCCACAGTGAGAAAAATAGTTCCGAATTGTCGCACTGCTCATTTTTCGCCAACTTTCGGCCACAAATGTAACGGCTTGCAAAATGTTGACCTTTGCACTGATTTCTCCGGCCGTCGAGGATGAGGTCAGCAAGCCTTCCTCAATTGATTCGAGGATGTAATTCACCAACCTTGAACGATTAAAGGTTTTCAAATTTTTTATGTTGCCCATGTCCATTGCCTGTATTAAAGATGTGGTCTTGGGAGGCTGAAATTCCATCTGGATATTCTTCAAGAAATCCAAATTTGAATGTGCTGCACAATTGTCGAGAAGTAATAACACTTTTCTCGACTGGCGTTGTAGCTCTGTGTCCCAGTCCT